CAACCAAACACCCCTCAAAAGTTCCAAAGTAATTTTGGGGGCTGGCCTTTGAATATAACTTGACCAACATGACCCTAAAATGCAGCCCTCACCATTTTTTAGGGGTAATTTTACATTCCAAAGTAACTAAGCAAATAAGTTTTTCTTGGCATCACGAGCATCAAAATATTTGGCTATTTTCAAAATACATTTTAATTAATGCAAATTCCAAGTCACTTGTATTCCGCAGTTAAATTGTTAACAAGCAATACTTGTTCTTTAACTATCCGTAAGTACCTCCGGAAAAATAGATTAATTGAAATATGATTTTTATTATATTAATACAAAGAGATGATATAAGATATATACATGAGACCTAAGCTATTTTAGGAAATATAATAACTCTATTTTATGTTAGGATCCCTTGATTTATGGGATTGTTCTTAATTATTCAAATCTGTACAGATTACAAGAAAATATACAAATTATCTGATTTATTCTTTCCTAAAATACTATTTGATTTCCCACACTCCCCCTCAAGCTGGTGAATAGATGTTTTCCATTCCCAGCTTGGATACAATCTTCTCAAAATTATGACAGCCCAGACCCTTGGTAAGAATGTCTACAATTTGGTCTTGAGAGGACACATATGGAGTGCATATCAAGCTACTATCAAGCTTTTCTTTGATGAAGTGTCTGTCTACTTCAATATGCTTTGTTCTATCATGCTGCACTGGGTTGTGGGCTATACTGATTGTTGACTTATTATCACAATAGAGCTTCATAGGTTCTTCCCAATTTATCCTCAAGTCTTCTAAGATGATTTTAAGCCATAGCAACTCACATATACCTTGTGCCATAACTCGGAATTCTGCTTCAGCACTGGACCGAACCACTACACCCTGCTTTTTGCTTCTCCAAGTCACAAGATTTCCTCCAAGAAAGGTGCAATATCCTGTAGTTGACCTCCTATCCACATTTGACCCTGCATAATCAGCATCAATATAGGCTTCAAGCTTCACATTACCATTCCTTTTGAATAAAATCCCTCTTCCTGGAGTTCCTTTAAGGTAAGGTTCCAACATAAAACCAATTGTCTTCTTTCCTATTGGTAAGGTTAGGTTTACTAGGAAGGTTTTATGGGTAAGAAAGAAATTTTTAAAGGACAAGTAGTTTGAGAGAGGGTAGAGTGGCTGTTTGGTGCATTTTCTTGTTCCTTTTCTAATGGCAATTGGGAGGTCAGGATCATTTTGAGTTTCAATTTCAATCTGTACAGCTAGAAAAAAAATTGTTACCTCTTTTTGTGGAGTCGAGTTGGATTCTTGAACATGGCTTGATCCTGGAATGACCTTAGTCTTCCTTGAGTACACCAGCTTCTTACCAAATTTGTCAGCTTCAACATCTCCTTGATCAGCTTCACAATTAATTTCACTTTCTTGACCAGCTTCCTTTTCTTGACCAATTCTTTGACCTGTTTCACTTGTTACAACTTCAATTTGATCTTGTTTAGGTTCAAATATCAAGTCTGGAAGAATGGAAAAATCAAAATTACTACTTTCTTTATCTTCCTTGAAACTCTCCCCCTGAAGATAAGGTTGATGGAAATAGTCCTCTTGTTCATTGAAGGTAACATCCCTAGACACAGAATTTTTTGGATGGGGGTGGTAGCATTTATACACTTTAAGGCTCTAGGATCAAGTTTTCCCCTGTTTGTACTATGAATATGGGCATATGAGATGCACCCAAAAACTCTTGGTTTAAGATTATTTGTAGTAGATAGGTTTGGATAGAAAGATGACAAAGCTTCCATAGGGCTTTTTGATCCTAAGACTCTAGAGGGTAGTCTATTGATAAGGTATGTCGCTGTAAGGACAACTTCCTCCCAGAAATTTTTGGGACACTTTTTTAGAATAACAATGCCCGAGTCTGATTTAATAGATGTCTATTTTCTCTCTCTGCGACCTCATTCTGCTGTGGTGTTTTGACACAAGAGGACTCATGAATTATATCTTCTTTTTGACAAAAAGAACTAAGGACATGATTGAAGTAATCTTTGGCATTATCTGGCCTAAGCCTCTTAATATTGACACCATACTGATTTTTTATCATGGAGTGGAAGTTTAGGAAGACAGAACTGACTTCTGATTTTTGTTTAAGTAGGAAAACCCAAGTGACCCTTGTACAGTCATCTATAAAGGTGACAAACCATTGAGCACCAGACACATTTAGAATATTAGAAGGTCCCTATACATCATTATGAACAAGATAAAAAGGGAAATTGCTAACTTTATTACTTATTGGAAAAGATACACGCTTGTGCTTAGCAAGTTCACACACCTCACAATGAAGACTCTCAATATCTAACTTGGTAAATAGAGAGGGAAACATATTTTTGATCACTCCTAAAGAGGGATGTCCCAACCAACAATGATAAAGCATGGTTTTTTCTCTATTGGTCATCAAGGATTCAGATATGAGAGTGAGAGATTTTGTTTTTGCTGGGCAGACTTGAATCTTCGAGATAATAAAGGTCATTCCATTCTCTAGCATGTCCAATCATCCTTCCCGAATCCTTGTCCTGAAATACACAATGATCGTTGAAAAAAACTTTACATGACAAATTCTTTATAAATTTTTGTATAGAGACTAGGTTGGTGGATAGCTTTGGGACATGGAGAATATCTTTTAAGGTTATTAAAGGATTGATTTGGATATTTCCTTGACCACCTGCAGTTATAAGGGTTCCATCTGCTGTGGCAATTTTCTTGTTGCTGGGACATGGGGAATATGTGGAGAAGTGTTTGGCTAATGGTGTCATGTGGTCTGTGGCTCCAGAGTCCAATATCCAATAATGGTTAAAAGGTGTATTTGAGACATTTAATCCAAAAGAGAATGGAAACTTACCTGGGTATGCCAAAGAACACACACATGTGGGTTTTTCCAGCTTACTAAGAAAGGTTCTCACCCTTTCTATCTCCTCTTGATTAAGATGGGCAGTAACTTCTAGATTATTTCCTTCATTTGTTTCAGCAGCAATATAAACTTGTCCTCCTTTCCTTGAGGAGCCTCCTTTGTGTCCCCCTTCTCGATCTCGGTTTAAAGGCTTCCCATGTAACTTCCAACACTTCTCTCGGGTATGACGAGGTTTATTGCAGTAGGTATACCAGAGACCATCATCTTTCTTCTCCACATTTGTTGTTCGGTTACCATGACCAAAGTCTGATCTCCTTTATGGTCCAGTGCTGAGTTCTCTACTGCTGGACTCTCTAACATGAGACCCCTTCTACTTTCTTCACTTCTCACAATAGCCACCACTTCATTGAGGCATGGTACCTTTTGCTTCCCCAATATTTGAATCCTAACTTGATCAAATTCAGGATTCAAACCAACAAGGAAATCATAAACTCTGTCTTGTTCGATATACTCCTTGAGAAGTGCTGAATCTTCAGTACATTTGGCTTTTATGACTCTATAATGGTCTAGCTCCATCCATAATGATTTCAGCTGATTGGCATATTGTGTAATAGTCTTGTTCCCTTGTTTTGCTGCCAAAGTTTTCACCTTTACTTCATATACTTGAGCAGCATCTTTGGCTTTAAAGTAGGTTTGCTCTACAGCATCCCAAATATCTTTTGCCGAATTAAGGAACATGCAGGTGTCGCTGATTTCTGGAATCATTGAATTCCACAGCCACGCCATGATCATTGAATCTTCTTCATCCCATGTAATAAACTTGGGATCCTCCTGTTTAGGTCCAGACTCCATCAGGTGACTCAACTTTCCCTTTCCCTTCAACACTGTATGAACAAGTTGGGTCCACTTCAAATAATTTCTTCCATTTAGTCTATATGCAGAATGAATATTCTGCAGTTCTCCAGATTGCTGGGATTGGGTATTCCCTGTTTCTGGGTTTGGATTCACAACTTCCTCTTCCCTTGACATCATAGCAAGGAGGTGTGATGCAACAGCAATGCAGGCTGTCGTCTTAGGATTAAGAAAAATACAGCAGCAATGCAGGCTACCGTCTTAGGGTTAAGAAAAATGCAGCAGCAATGTAGGCTTCCGTCTTAGGGTTAAGAAAAATGCAGCAGCAATGCAGACTGTCGTCTTAGGGTTAAGAAAAATGCAGCAGCAATATAGGCTGCCGTCTTAGGGTTAAGAAAAATGTAGCAGCAATGCAGGCTGCCGTCTTAGGGTTAAGAAATATGCAGCAACAATGTAGGTTGTCGTTTTAGGGTTAAGAAATATGCAGCAGCAATGTAGGTTGTCGTCTTAGGGTTAAGAAAAATGCAGCAGCAATGCAGACTGTCGTCATAGGGTTAAGAAATATGCAGCAGCAATGCAGGCTGCCGTCTTAGGGTTTATCGCGCGCAGACAGAGCTTCCTAGATCGGAAGCTCTGATACCATCTGGAAAAATAGATTAACTGAAATATAATTTTTATTATATCAATACAAAGAGATGATATAAGATATATACAGGAGACCTAGCTATTTTAGGAAATATAATAACTCTATTTTATGCTAGGATCCTTTGATTTATGGGATTGTTCTTAATTATTCAAATCTGTACAGATTATAAAAAAATATACAAATTTCCTGATTTATTATTTCCTAAAATACTATTTGATTTCCGACCGTACCTATTCCTTTTATATTTGTGGCTAATATATATAATTCATATGTTTTGGTTAGCAGGATCCTGGTTGTTGAATTGGAGGTGGTTGGCTTGCTTGATCTTTGTTTATAATCTGAAAATCAACTCAGAAAGATGCTGTCAGTTTCGATGTATCTCATCGTTTGGATGATAAAATAAGTTCTATTTGATACAATTCTGAATTTTCTTGCAGTTAAATGTTAATTGAATGTGTGAAAAGAAAACATACTTTTTTATATGATTATGTCTCTTAGTCAACTTGCTGTTGTGATTTTGTTTTGCAACTGCTCAACTTGTGGGATGGGTTTCAAATCTCAAACAAAAAATAGTTTGCCAAAGTTGAAGTTTCCATAAGTCAAAACTGAATTATGGGTTTAGTCTCTTAATATTTGCATTTGAATCATGTACAGCATATGGACGGTTCTCGTTTATAATATATCCATTGGTTCCCAAGCTTTCCTTAGAAAAATTGTGAAATTTAGTGATCCATATCACCTTCAGGTTTTCAGTGATCCAATTGGGAGACTCTTCAGCTCTTTTTTGTTGAGTAAGTGAGAATGAAGTATTATCAAGAAAAGTAAAGATTTATGTTCTTGAGCATTAATGATACATATTGCTTATTATTTTTTTTTTAAAGGGAGTTGGATCCTTTTTCTTATTGTATAAAACATTGGTGTGAAAACATTCCGGGTGATGTACATTAAGTTAACTTATATTTAAATCAAAACAAATTCAAGTTCACAATTGATTATTTTACTTATAATTCGAATGAAATAAACTATAAGTTGTTTGGTTTTGGATTTATATTTGTAGTTTTTTTCAATTTAAATTCACTTGATCCAATTAATCATTTTTAACTTTAGATTCGTACATTTTATGATTTGGTATTTAAGTTTTCTTCCATTTTTTTTCTTCATTCAATTTATCCTTGTAATCTCAACTAGTATCAGCAAGTGCTTTAATTTGGTCATATTTATTTACTATATGATTTTTTTTATCATATTTCAAATAATAAAAGCTATTTGACTTCATATTAAATATCATAGTTTTGAAAACCGAATTGAATAAAAAAATTATAAAATTATATATTTATTAAAAATATATTTTTTAAAAAAATTATATTGATTTTTTAAATTTATTCTAAAATGATTGAGGTTAATAAAAGACATTTTAATAAGATTTACAAATTGGTGTAAATTATTGTTATGCTTTTTATAAAACTTTACTTTAATCATTTGTATTAATTTATAATTTTATATCCTAATTTTTTATTATACTATATTCATTTATTTTTTTATTTTTTTTATTTTGCATATAAATAATTAATTGTTGGTAAAAATTATTATATTTCTGTAAAATTAATTATTATTATTATTATTATTATTATTATTATTATTATTATTACTATTATTATTATCGATTTGGCTACAATTCAATAATGTTGAAAATTAAACTTTAAACCAATATTATGATCATATTACTAGTTCAGTTTGAAAATAATTCTTAAGCGTTGATATTTTATTTTAATTATCTTAAGTAAATTCTACATGACATGTTAAAACTTAGATGTTATGAGATTCTATGGCATCTTGAAAACAATAATCTACAGTACTTACTTTGTAGAACATTATATTATATTTTGTCAAACTCATTACACAGGTTTAGCAAATAAATAAACACTTAAGTCATCATAATATGAACTAAACTAATTGCATAGTTTATTTTTAACTTTTTTTATTTCTTTAAATTTGTAAAAAGTTATTTTTATGTCTCTTAAATTTAAGATTGATTTATTTAATTTCTATCATGTGAAAAAAAAATGGTATTTACGACTTGTTTTGATTTTATATTAAATTCAAACTGTATTATGTAAAATTTAATTAAAAAACATGCTTTAAGTTATATCATCATAACTTAAAGAATAAATCACTTCGTTAAGAAACTTAAGTCTTAAATACTCAATATTAGCATTTGATTTTAGAATTATTTAAAAAATCAACTTTTTAAATTTAAAAAACATAAAACAAATTTATTCAAAAACTAAAATATATTTAATCTTCTTTTTTTTTCACTTTATCAAAGACAATTGAGTGTCCTCTCAACCCTACCAACCAAGTAACCATTCAAACCACCCTAATCTTAGATTAGTTTTATGTTTTAACTTGGCAAGAACTTATTTATTTGTGGCATAGATAGTTGGAGACACTTCAACGAGTTCATTGACATTGGCTTCATCACACAATGAAAACAGCATAATGGGATTTGAGTTCTCCAAATAACAAAATTGTTTTTGTTTGACCTAGGTAAAAGATACAGTTTTTATATAAATAAATAAATAATTATAAGTATACAGTGAAAGTTTTGCATCTGTAATATAATTTTTAAAAGAGTTATTGTAATTTTTTATAAATTTATTATACCTAATAATTAATGATGGGATGATAATATGTAAAATACAAAATTCTATCAGTTAATATGATATTTAATGGATGATAATAAATGAGGGACAAACAAAACAAAATGAACACTTTTTAGTGACTCTGTAATAGTCATCGTAAGGTGTACTCTACACACCAAAACAAAGGTTTGAGTTAACAGTGAAGAGAAAGAAAAGAAGCAGAATAAGAAGCTTGCCGTTGGTGGTGATGCTTCCAGAACAGCCACACCGTTGCCGGTGACTGTCCTATACATTGGGAATCAAAGATTCAGTTTCAAATTTAAACCATTTACTCAATAAAAGGTTAGTTTCAGTTTGTTCACAGCTCTAAGCTTAAATTCCTTATTTCCCTTGTGATACAGCTTCAGAGCAATTCAAAGATCAGATCTTTACTCATATTTTGTCTTCCATTGCAGGTTGGTTTTCTCTTATTGGCCTTAAACTCATGTGGGTTTCTTTTGTTTTAGCTTGGAACTTTTGTGGGGCTTGGTAAAATCTAGGCCTTGGCGTGACTTTGTTGACCAATTGGCCACACTAATCAGTTGGCTTCTCTAACCATAAAGTTATTGTTTTCTTGATTGAATTGTGGTTCTGAGAGAGATTGGGGAAACTAATGATTGGTAAATTTTGCGGTTCTTTTAGGCTGTGATCAGGTTCATGTAGTCTTCATACCTAAGAGTTTTTCTTCTTCATTGAATTTGTTGAGTGATTCTTAAAATAGTGTTTTTCTTCTATGTCTTTTTCATGTGTTGTCACCATGCAGTGCTTGAAATGTTTCTGGCTCCTCTTGTGCTTTATGTGCTTGGCAGTGTTGCATCTGGGTTTTGATGAACTATTTGTGTCGGTTATCAATTACTATGTTGTTGATGATTGTGGCTTGATTTCCCGGGGGATTGTCATGTGGGTCGTCATCACTCATCGTTAGCCTTGGCTAATTTCTTACCCCTTTTGAAATAGTCCTTCTCATCTTTGTATGCTTATGTACGTAGATTGATTTACTGCGAGAAAATATCATACTGGTTTGTCAGTTTTGAGATAGGATAGGATATTCCCTCTTAGTTCTACTTCCACTGGAATGGTGCAACCAAAATGAACATATATTTGAACCTGATCCTGTGTAATATTCGATCACAATCATATTGGTAACTTATCCTTCTCCTTATACCCTGACATTCGTGTGTCAGAGTCGTATTCATGTATCAAATTGTTAATGATTTAATCAATTGTACTGCTCATGGTATTTTTCATTAAGCATTGCTATTTTTTGTGTATTATAAACAACTTGTATGTTACATCTTAACAATGGTAAGAAGTAATCATCTGTGTGTATGTATTTGTACAAAATATGTTTGTTGGCTTCCAGGTTACTGGAACTTTTAATGTCACTATCAATTTTATGTCCATGCATCAGGTGTGATACATAATCAATTAATATGCGGGATGCGGAGAATTTAAATAAGAAAGGATCAAGAAAATCCTGTTATTCAAAGGAACAGATTAAGTCCAAGCTATTTTCATCAAAATTCAAAACAAGTAGTACAAGACACCGAAGGAAGGAACACAAAGTGAAGTCAAAATCTCATAAACAGAGAGTTGGTACGAACACATCAAGGAAAAGAGTTGCTGATGCTTCTATCAAGGCACCACTTAAGGACTCGTCAAATAAAAAAGTGATTATTAATAAAACTCTCCATAAAAGTGATGTGAACTCTTCACAGAAGGTGTCTTCAACAAAACTACAAAGAAGAAAAATTCCTCATAGTTCTAGAAAAGAGGGCAATGGTGTGGATGAAGAGGCAAAGATTAAAAAACATAAGAGGAGAAAGAAGAATAGACAAGGGGACAGTATGGATCTTGATGATGCTTCACGCCTTCGAAGGAGAACAAGATACCTCTTAATCAAAATGAAGCTGGAGCAAAACCTTATTGATGCTTACTCTGGAGAAGGTTGGAAAGGTCAAAGGTATGGAGCAATTTTTTTTCGCTTATATCTTTTCCTAAATGTTTGTTCAATGAAATGCAGATATTGCTTTATAAGTGATTGATTGAGATTTAGACCTTCCTACTAGAGTTTAGGAGGAATCTGTGAAGGAATTGTTTTTAAGTAGGAAAAATGTATTCACTGTATCACATTATGGAAGTTTTCCTTGAAAATTATGGAATAAGTTATTAAGCAAATGTAGATATGTACCATTTTACATTGGTGGGATAATCATGGCAGTGTTGTGTATAATACATAGTTTCTCCATCAATAGAAAATATATAAGGAAATTATACAACTTGTGAAGAGAAGATACGAAGTTAATTTGATATAGCAACAATCTTAATAATTGTCCTGTTCCAAAATTCTAGACCCTAACCATTGACAAGGACAACTAAATATTTGTTTATTCTAATTAATTTACATGTAAGCTCATAATTGGAGGGAAACATACTTTGTCAAAAATGAAATAGGAATGATGCAAACAATTAATAATCAACATTACCTTGGAATCCTTAATAGGACCTGTTGCTGTTTTGTATTTACTATGTGTCATGTCCTCAGAGAGATTTTCAGAATGCTTTTAGACAATTTTAGTTGTCTTGGATCTATTAACCTACATTGAGTTTTTAACCTATTTCTGTGTCTAAAAATAGTGAAAAATCACCAACAGAACAGAAAACAAAATCACCAACAAATAGTTTTTCAGAAACAATGTGAAAGTGACATTTGAATAAATTAAGGTTGAATTTTTTTTGTTGGACGTTTGTTGTATGTCCATTAACTGTTTCTCATGTTTCTAAGGAAAATTTGTCTGTTATGTTTTTCTTTGTGAAGCTTAGGCAAGATTTTGCTTAGTTATCATGTAATTGTCACTGTTAAAGTTCCAACATAAAACCAATTGAAACCATATCAAATGATATGAGGTAGGCGATGTGGGACTTTCAACACACCCCAACTTTTGACCCATGACAATAACCGGAAAGATGTTAGGTTTTGGCTCTGATACCATGTTAAGGTTCCAACACAAAACCAATTGGCAATATGTGGATTAGCCTAACATGTATTTAAACCATACCAAATGATATGAGGTAGGCGATGTGGGACTTTTAACAGTCACAATATGAAGACAACTCCTTTTTATTTGAAGTTTTTGAAATGACAGCATTTTAATATGATTATAAGAACTAGGCTTTTATCTTATCTTTGTTCGGTTGAGTTAGATTGAAGATCATGTATAATCTTTCAAGAAATAACTTTTGGAAAAGTTTATTCATGACATGATATTAGAGCTTCCCAAGCAGTAATTTTGTAACCATGCAACCCATTATTTTATGTAAATGTTGAATTTCCGCACAAAGGTAGGCTTGGCATTGTACATACATTTCAAGCCCACTCATGAACCTTGAACTAATTAACTTAAGCTTTTGGAGCAATGCAGTGTGATCTTTATTGAAAAGCAATAATTAATTGTTAAAATTCAAAACTTTCCCTTGAGAAATAGTTTAGTGACCAATTATTATTCTTGTCACAGTCGGGAGAAGATTAGGCCAGAAAAGGAGCTACTAAGAGCAAAGAAACAGATTTTAAAATGTAAACTCAGCATTCGTGATGTTATACGCCAGCTGGATTCTCTTAGCTCTGTGGGTAGCATTGAAGATTCTGTTATTGCTCCAGATGGCTCTGTTTATCATGAACATGTGAGAAGTGTCAAAACTACAAAAACTTCACTATTCTATGTTATCATTTTACATTTTTTCCCCTTCAAGACCTTTTATAAAGCTTTGCATCTTGTTTTAATTTTTTAATCATTGATTTTTACTGTTCTTGTGTTAAATCAACTCATACAGAGAAGAGATGGTTCACGATTTCAAAAGCTGATTATATATATTTCTGTCTTTTTTCTTCATCTAGATATTCTGTGCCAACTGCAAACTACATGAAGCTTTCCCAGATAATGATATTATACTCTGTGATGGCACATGCAATCGTGCTTTTCACCAAAGATGTCTCAATCCTCCTTTGGATACTGAAAATAGTGAGTTCCTGTTTACACTTGTCAGCTTGCTTTTTAACCTTTATATAGAATATAAATTGCTTAATTATGCATTGCAGTTCCTCCTGGAGATCAAGGCTGGTTTTGCAAGTTTTGTGAATGTAAGATAGAAATACTAGAGTCAACAAATGCCCATCTTGGGACTCAATTCTCCTTGGACAGTAGTTGGCAGGTTTTTTTTTTTTTACCTTAATCTCTTATCCAGCAATTTTCTGATTTCAACTTAGCTTTGATAAATTTATTCTTTCTGGTTCAAGTAATAATATATTTTTTTCATGAACTAAGGATGTATTCAAGGAAGAGGCTACTATGCCTGATGGTCATATTGCATTACTTAATCCAGAAGAAGAATGGCCATCAGATGATCCTGAAGATGATGATTACAATCCAGAGAGGAAAGAAGGCAGCCCCAGCATCAACACAGAAGGAGGTGATGACAATGCATCCAATGATTCAACCAGTTCTTCGAGTTTGTGGTCTTTGAATGGGGAATGTCCTCCGTTAGGTGAAGACCTTAGTCATGAATATTATTCTGTTAACAGCGTCATTGATTCTGATGAATCTGGCGAAATAGCATGTGGCCGTAGGCAGCGTAAAGCAGTTGACTACAAGAAACTGTATGATGTGAGTATCTAAGTTTTCATTCAACATAAGGATTTGTTATCAAATTAAAGATGTTATTTCATCAGTCATATAGAGTTCACAAGTCACCAGCCATAAGTTAATAGTTCAAAATTTAAGGCTTTTGTTTAGCCACTGCCTGTCATTTAATAACTGGTACACTCTAAATGTGTGTGCCTTTCATATATATTGGGTTGGAAAATTTGTTTACAGTACTGATTTAAAAATGAATTTCCAATTGTATGTGCTTTTTTCCCTTGTTGTGGATAAGGAAATTTTGTGTTGTTTGTGCATGGGAAATACTAGCAAGAGATAGAGCTCCCTAATTTCTTCTCTGGTCATAAGTTTCATTTGATTTGACATCTTTTCAGGAAATGTTTGGGAAGGATGCCCCATCATGTGAACAAGTGAGTGAAGATGAAGACTGGGGTCCTGGCAAAAGAAAGCGAAGAGAAAAGGAATCTGATGCTGTTAATACTCTTATGACTCTGCATGAAAGTGAGAATAAATATCCTAATAATGAGAGCAATGAAAGAAAAAGAGAGGGTTCTTCAGGCTTGCCAATAAGAAGATCTTGTTTCAGGATTCCACTTGATGCAGTTGAGGTAGTACTTGTGGCAAATCCTGTTGTCATCTTTCTTTATTGTCATCAACCCTCTCCCTACCTCCCCTACTTTGAAATTCCACTACACATATATAAATAGTTATATATGCACAAATTGTGTCTGTTAATTGTTTTGTAATGAAATATGCCAGAAACTTCGCCAAGTTTTTGCAGAGAACGAGCTTCCTCCAAGATCCGTGAAGGAAGGTCTTTCAAAAGAGTTGGGACTAGATCCTGAAAAGGTTATGCCTGAAGTCTCTAATTGCATCTTGTTTCTATTCTAATCTGTATTTGTCTTGTAATATCTTTGCTAAATATTAAGTATTAAACTGAAAATATTGCACTATTTCTATCTGCAAGTTACTGGCATTGCTTTTGGTCTTTATTCATGTCATGATCTGTTCAAACGCTTTTACTAATGTGTTAGAAATGCAGGTTAGCAAATGGTTCAAAAATGCACGTTACTCAGCACTTAAAACCAGAAGGGTAAGCTTTACCATCAAGTTTTTGCTCTGACCTTTTTCAGTTCATGAGTAATATGGTTTCTTTCTCTGGTTCATAGTTTATAAGAAATTCTGCTGTATGTCTCCTTTGGATGATCATTATCCCATGTAGATATCCTTTAGTGTTGATATATATTTATAATCAATCGGTGAATAAAATTTATACTAACCTGGTCAGTTCATTGACAATTAGGAAAAAGACAGTGAATAGGATTTTATTTAATATCAAACCTTGAATAATTTGATCATTAATGTTGGAGATGTTGAGAAAAGAGAAACTGGGAAGCCATTTGATGAATTCTATGTGTTTAGACCCCAATCTATTCAATCTATAGGAGAGAGAGCATAATAATTACAGAATATTCAATTTCCCTATTCTAGGCTAATAACATAAATATAAAATCAATTTAATTGATCCTAATATCATCATTTGATCTTAATATCATATCTTTAGGATTCTAACAATAGAGGTTTAATTTGGTATCATTTTTTTTTTGTTCATATTAATCTGTTAATAACATAGCAAGCATCTTTATATGTCAGGAATTAAGAAATTGTTTTGTTCTTGGAATTTGCAAAAAGTAGTCTGACATAAGTGAGTTTTATTCAGTATCAATCAGAAGAACAGCTTCAGAGTTTCACATCTCCGATATCAAAGGATTCTACGTCTCCAAACGTGGAGAAAGATGAGTTTATGAAATCAAAAGTCTCCAAAATTACTGTGATTCAGGAGGATGGTAAAAACATCACAGGTAAAGAGAAAAATAAATTATGTAACAGTCTTATGAAGAAAAGGAAGCAAAAACCATCTCCACCACTGTCAATAGAAAACACCAACAAGGTACATACATGTCTACCCATTTAAATACTGTGTTCTGTGTGTTTTTGCTAGCTCAAGAAGCAAAAAGAACACACAATTTTTGTTGCAGATCACTTGAGAAAGGGTGGCCTATGTTATTGGAAGTTTTATTAATAACTTGTTGCTCTTTGATATTTTATGTTCAGGACTCTATGGAGGTCAGTGATGATGTAAAGTTGAAGAAACTGCTGAAAGAAAAGAAAAGAATGGTAAATTTTATACATGAAGGAGACTCTCTGACAGCAGAGTTGGAATTTGAGATACTCAGCAAACTGAAGAGTAAAGTAGATAGCATGAAGCAAAAACTAAAGGAAGTTCAAAATTGCAGAGCAAAGGGATCAAATGAACCCTCTATTATGTATGTACCCACAGCCCAATTAAGGGAAAAGGTTGAGTAATAATATTATTTTTTTATCACATTTTTGCTCTGCAGGGTAATACATGATATAATGTAAGTTTGATGTACCTATCTTATATTGTAAATGAACATGTAACAATCTCTTCTAAGTTAATAATATTAGGAAAATGTACTTGATACTAATGAAAATTGTCTAGATTTCCTCAAATGTAATAATAAGATATGAGAATGAAATAGTAATTGATATATGAGTAAATAAAAAGTTATTCTCAATCCAGAAACCAATAGAAGTTTCTGTCAGAAATAATAATGTTTCAATAGAAGTTATCCCTCCAATAATAATAATAACAATAATAATAATAATAATAATAATAATAATAATAATGTTTCAAAACCAAAAATAAATATTTTGAATGAAAAGATGTATTTTTTTATTTATATTATTATGTTTATTAATTTATTTAAAATATTTCATAAAAGTTGTATGCATACATGTATTTTTATTATCTAATATATTTATCTTTATAATTTTTTTTATATAATGTTATTACGTATTTGTTTAATTGCTATAAAAAATTTATGGTATTATAGAGACAAATTTAACACCTGTTTCATCCACTAAATTGAATATATTTTTAAAATGATAATTTATATGTTAATACTTTTTTTATATACATTTTATAATATATCGTGTTCATATTTAATATTTTTTATTTTAATAAAAAATATTTTTACCTTTACAATAATAAATTTAACTTTACAATTACCTAAACATAACATTAAAAATTTAAAGTATCCAAGCATAAAATAAAAATATAAACATTAAAAATAATTAAATGTAAGTTATAATTAATTAAAATTTAAGCGTAATAATCTTATTTAAATTATATAATATCATTATTTGTATAACATATTTTCATTAAAGAAATAAATAATATGGTGACTATGCTATGCATGCATCTGTTATTATATTTTAAAATTATGAATTTTTTTAATTTAGTTTATATAATATTATGTATTATTTAAGAGTAATACAACTTAAAATTCAAAAGGTACTTTATATGAATTAAATTTCTGCTATAAATATACAACCAATACTTTTACTTATATTAATATAACACATCAATTTGAAAAATTAAAATAATACTTTCTTTCTTAAATTAAAAAATCAATTAAATATGTTTATAAGTATAAATAAAAACATAAATGTATTTCTAAAATTAATAATAGAAAATAATAAAAATTATTATTATTTAGAATAATTAGAAGAAGAAATAAGAGAAAATGCAAATTAGATGATAATAACTATTTTAAGTATAATCATAATAACTATTTAAAATAGAAATGGTAATAATTATATTAAATATATTTTTATTATTAAATTAAATCATCTAACAAAAAATATTTCAACTTAAATTAGTTATATATAAAATCATTTCTTTTTTTATTATTTTTTCTCTTAAATTTTTATGAAAAGAATGTCCAAAAAATTCATTAAACTTAAATAAATCTAATGGTCAATAAAAATGTTTACATAGTAAACTTAAATCTTTCTCCCTTTGACTTAAGAATAAAGGATTTTTTTTCTCTTTCTTTTTTCCTTCCCATTATTAACAGCTTCTATGCCTCTGTTTTGTGACAGTATAAAATTATTTTTCCCGAATTTAATAAGAATAAATTAACTTTATTACAAAAATAAAGAAAAACCTTTTCAAATTTAATTAATGTTTGTGACAAATGTAGTTACATTTTAGAATATTTAGAGCCTTACACCTGCAAAATAATTAAATAAAATCACAATTTCAGTTGTAATAAAACACAGTAGTCAAATTGAATATATAATAATAATAAAATATTTATTTTTGAATTATTAACAAGAAAATAAATTGCACAATCAAAATTTAATATTTCTTAATTTTCATAAGATATCATAAGTTCTTATAACATAAAACATAAGTAATTTATAAGTGTAATATTTACTCATAGTATTCATAAAACAATATTTATATAATTAAAGATTATTATTTTTACAATAAATAAATAAATAATATGTTTACCATATATTTATATTTACTATATAATTTGATTATAGTGATATAAAATGAATTAAATTTAAAGCTTATGGTTCTTAACCTAATTTTAATTAAGTGAATATCTCAATTCAACTCAATAATTTAGCTTAACGAAAAACAATGTAAAATTATTCTACATATACTATTTTCTCTAACATTTAAAAAAGTATAATAAAATAAATAAAAAAATTGAGTTTTTTTTTCTTGCAAAGCAAAGCATAAAGCGTTCCCCCCATTTATTTCACAGTGAAAAGTTTCAAACCTTTTTTCTTTCAGATTTTAAATCGCCGTCGGAGACGAGAAACGTAGGATGACGTCACTTTCAGGCGAACCTTCGGCGAATGGCGACCCTCTATCTGACCAAGTATTCCGAACGTCGTCGTAGTTCAATTTCAATAGCAAACCCTTACTCAGTCCCTTCTCTGATGATTTCTTCGCCACCTTCTTCTTCTCCTTCTTTTTCTTTTTCTTCTTCATCGTCGTCGGAACTAAATTCTCCGTCCTATCCATCCTCACTCGTGGCGAGATTTTAAGCATGTCGACCACCAGAAAGTTACACCACTTTGAGTCGTCGTGAACTCGCCGGAGCGCCCTCACCAAACCGAATTCTCCATCGATCATGCGTTCTTCGTTGGCGCCGCAATCAGCATCTTCTACTCTGCTTCTCCCCATGATGCTATCGATCCCTTCCTCGATTTCCTCGTCCAGCATCGTTTCGCACTCCAACTCTTCCCTCTCCAAATCCAAATCCACTTCATCGCAATTCGCGTTCTTCTCTCGAAAAAACGTGTTCTTCTCCTTCATCGTCATCGTCATCTTCTTCTTCTTCTCTCGTGTGCCGAAGAACAACTTGTTAGGCTCCGTTTGGAAGCGGCATTTGCTTGCAAACGAGAAGGCGTCGTTGTCGTCATGTTCTCTGAACACTAATAACGGTTCCAATGAGTCGTTATAACGTTCCGTTATCGGTTTCGTGAACTTTTCGGGTTTTTTGTGGTTTTTGATGGAGAAGAGATTGGGGGACGCTGTGGAGAGGAGTGTGGCGGCTTCGTTGTAGGTTTGGTTGGGACGCTTTCGGAGGGTCCGAGGTTTTTTGTTGAAGAGTGATTGAGTAGAGTTTGTGGTTTCCGAGGTTGTTGAGGAAGGAGATGAAGTGAGGATAGACGAGGATGGAGATTTCACAAAGTCCAAATTGAATCCAAAGGTTCTTCCCCAACTTGAACTCATTGGTTCAACTCAAAAGTAAAATAAAACTGAAAAAATCGAACGTGGCTGAAGAAGAAGGTATATTTCAAAAATAAGGGTGTTTTTTTTTTTTAACTTTGTCAGGAAAATGGAAACAAATATACCGAGAGTTTGTGTCTCACAGTCTTGAACACGTTACAGGAAAAGAAGGGTCCCAAGTACTGAAATAGTACCTTACTGGTTTGTCGAGGAAGATAAGGGCATTTCACAAGGTGCTAAACCCTAAACCCAGTAAGTAGACAATAAAAGTTCCTTTTTTTTAGGTTAGAAAAAGGAGTTGTGTGTGTTGTTCCACCGCTTTAAAAATGCAGCGACTTGAGAGAGAAATGGGGTTGGGAAAGTAAATTATGTTATATATAAAAAAAAGGAAGAAAATTTAAAATAATATATATATATTATTTATATTTCTCTTTTAATTTAAAATAATAGGGTTGAAGTGTCTTTCTATTTTTTTTTCAAGATATATAGGATTAGTAGGTTATATTTGAGTATTATTTATTTTAAGTTTTAGTTATATTTTATTACTATTTTCACCTTAAAAGATATTTATGTATGAAAAGAAGATAATATATATATATATATATATATATATATATATATATATATATATATATAATTTGTATATAATGGTGTGAAAGTTTTGATTATATTAATCTTCCCACTTTAAATATGTAAAAGTAAAATAGTTAGATATCACATCTATAATATTGACAGTTTTGAAATTTAAATTATTTTATTTCTAAAAGATGTTTTAATAATTCAAGAAATATGTATAAACCTAATAGGGAGTGCTACAATGCGAGACTTTTGGAGAAAAATGTAAAAAAAAAAAAAAAAAAACGTGTATCATAACTTTGGTATAAAAATAAGGTGAAAATATATAGGAAGAAAGATGGTGATTATTGTAAGTGTTGTAAGAGAATAAAGAAAAGAACTTGTTAGGAATACCGTATATAGAAAGAACACAGATGAATTAGATATAGTATATAATGAGCAGTATCTCCCAATTATAGGAAAAAGCCAAAAAGAGTGGTGTCTGCAAAGTTCAGTCTGAAATGCTGCAGAAATGTAGAGAAATGATAAAAAGAAAGGGCCGAGATATCATCTTGTTTAGGGTTTGGGTGAGTAAGAAAGTGTTGAAAAAGAGAAAGAAAAAGTTGTGCAAGATGGGAATCGGAGAGTGTGAAGAAATAGACAAGAGAGGATAAGAAGAGAGAAATGAATGTTGTTTGTAGGAGTGTCAGAGAGAAGATAATTTTTGAAGAACCCTAAACTCACAGAGAGAGTGCATGATGGGTGTGTGGAGATGAGAACGAAGGAAAAGACAATGCTCAGTTCCATTATTGGCCCACTGCGTTAACACCTTCAAATTTATTATTTAAACATAAAAAAACAAATATTATATATATATATATATATATATATATATATATATATATATATATATATTAAAATACTTACTAAGGTTTTGTTTGTGTGAATAGAGAAGACGAGAACATGAAAAAAAAATCATTTCAGGTCAAAATGGAAATGAATAGTACAAAATTTATAAATATATATGATTGAAGTAATCAAGGTTGCCATGTATTTTTTTAAAATTTTAAATTATTACTTATTAATTCAAATTTAAAATAAATTAATAATTAAAGAAAACAAAATATTTGACTTATAAAAGTACAAAATAAATCAATGTAGACAAAGTTCTTTAACAAGACAGTTGTGCTTTCGTTGCAAATGTTTGGCGCAGAGTCACTACAAATCAACCCAATCAAACTAACAAAATCATCTTAAATTCATCCATACAATAATGAATCATCTGTACCCACACAAAGCCTAATGATTAGGGTATCGAGTGAACCCCATTCACAGTTGAGTCATGACGGGTTCACTTTAACTGAGTTCAATTCGACTTAATTTACTATTATTAGAGGGTTAGTTAGATTGATTTATTAATTTAATACTAACGCAACAAATAGTAGATATAATAAACGTGGGAATATAATGGATACCAACAGTGTCAGATTTTTGTTTGGAAGAGAAGAAGAGTAGCGTGAAATATTGTTGAAATTTTGATGTAATTTATGATTCTCATCCCTAAAATTTAATTAATATTTAATATATTTATTTGTTTATTTATAATTTTATCTTTTTATTTCCTCCTCAATTTTGTAACTTTTATTTAATTTATGATTTTATCATCTTCAAATTGAATGATCATTTAATATATTTAAATATATATTTATAATTTTATCTTTTTATCCTTTAATCTTTATTTTTCTTTTTATATTTAGTTATTATTTATTAATAATATATTATTTAGTCTCTAAGATCAATGATAAAGTTACTAGATACTGACAAAGGTGATAGATATAATGGAGAAAGGTGATAGATATAATGGAGGTTATAGATGTAATAAAATTTAGAAACTCATTAAATAAATATAAGTTAACTTAACAATAAATAAATAAAATTTAATAGATTAAGTGAATCTAACAAAACACAATGAGTAATATATATATATATATATATAATAATTTTGATCAAAATGATTTTGTTGACTTGTAAAGTGAATATCAGCATAAGATAAGAGAATGAAAATTCAACTTTTATTAAATTATTAATTATTTTTAAAATTTAAATAATGAGTTATAGGTGAATTCATTATAATCCAATTTAAATTTGTTTAATAGATAATAAGTGAATCAAATTCTGGACCCGTATTTAATAGAAAAAATATAAATTTAATTTGACTTTTTATTGTTGACTACTATATTGCCAGTCATATTAATGATATGATATGATTGATGAATGAATTTTAAAAAATAAGATTAAAAATTATAAAAAATAAAATTATTTTAATTGGAAGAAAAATTATCCAAATTAAAAGAAACTAGCTTTAAGTTAAAAAAAGAGAAATTACTAATTTTTTAGTTAATTAACTTGATTTAACAAAATAAAAAATATAAATTAATTGAAAAATATAATAAATTATCAAAGTAGTTAGTTAAAATTTAATAAAAAATATTATAGTTTAAAATTAAAAAATAAATAAATTTATTATTTATAAATTGAAAATAATATAAAAAGATGTGCAAAATAATTTAAATTGTTTAAATAGAATTTAGAAAATATGAACATGTAAATAAGCACACTACAAAATAAACATAAATCTTCACATATTTTAATATATATATATATATATATATATATAATATTAAAAAATATTTTTCTCCATATCTCATTGTGTGCCAAATAATCATCACTATTCATCATATTAATACTCTTAGGATTAATATTAATACCACACACACAAAATATAATGTAATTTTGTTGGTTAGTTGATAATTTATTTTTGCGGATCTATATATTGACTTAAGAACACTAGTCAGAGATATATTAATAATGAATCAACTTGTTTAAGTAAAAAGTATATATCTCTTAAATATATAATCAATTTATTTGATATTAATAAACCACATTATTATTAAAAAAATTACTTTCATTCTAAAAATTCTTTATATTCGAATAAGAGATATATTAATCATGAATTAAATTCTTTAATTTAAAAAAGCAAAATATAAAAACAAATAAAATATTTGATATTAATAAACCACATTGTTTAATAAAAGGGAAAATGCTTTCTTTATTTTTTTTGTTCTTATTAACCATGGGAAGATATTTAATATTACAAAATCACATTATTTAACAAGAAAGAACTTATTTTCATTCTTAAAGTGCTGTTTAGATAAAAATCACTTACATTCTAAAATTTGCTACAAATTGTTTTATATAATGATTTAATTATGAGAATTAAAAGATTGGAAACTTTAAATAAATGAGATATTATATACTAATAAATCACATTATTTAATAAGAAAGAAATTACTTCCATTCTTAAATTTTCTTTAAGAAAAACTATAAAAAATATTTTTATTGATAATAAGAGGATATATTAACAGTGAATTAAAATTCTTTAATTTAAGAGAAATCAAATAAACAAAAAATGGTATTTGATACTAATAAATCACATTATTTACGAACAAAAAACTACCTTCATTCTAAAAATTGGCTTGTGTTAGCATTGGAGGATATATTATTCGTGAATAAACTTAGTTAATCGAGGCAAACTTTTGAATTAAATTTATAAGATGAACACTACAAATTCGCGTATTTATAAGATTAAAAGTGGATTTAAGATAAAATATTAATTTTAAAATTGAAATGTATAAAATTGAAATTAAATTTCATGATTAAAAACTCCATTAACAAAAAAACTGAAAAACACACACTGCAGCTAAGCTAAAGTGTGTTTCTTTCCTCCATACACTCCCAAGACCTTAACTTGACCACCCTTTGTGTCTCTCTCACATGGCTACCGCCGAACCACTGCAGAACGGCACCGCCGGAAACCTGCTATCCCCGAACAATGTCTCTGCCTCACAATCACCGGCAGAGACGGAGGCTGACACCACCGCGGCGGCCCCTCTTCCAGAGAGGAGGTGGCCGGGGTGGCCCGGTGACTGCGTGTTCCGTCTCATCGTGCCCGTGGGGAAAGTTGGGAGCATCATAGGGCGCAAGGGAGAGCTGATAAAGAAGATGTGTGAAGAGACACGATCTCGCATTCGCGTTCTGGACGCTCCTCTCGGCACTCCTGATCGAATTGTAAGTCTCAATTGCACATAACCCCTCGCTCTCTCTGTCTAGGGTTTTCATTTCCTTTCTCCGTCTAGGGTTTTCTTCTTACAAACCCTTTTCCTTTTTTCACAATTTAAAATTTTATACTTTTATTCCAGCTCTTTGCAGCACCACGAGAGTGATTGATACCCTAAAAGTAGTCACTTTTATTTTGTGCTTTCTTCACTGCTTGTTCTGTTCCCTTTTCTTTAATTCCCATGCTAATGTACCATCCAGCGCGTGATTGTTCTACCTCAGTCTGTTGGTTCGAGTTGGATTATGAATATGCAATTGCATTGAATATTACCCTAGACTTGAGGTTTCATCCGGTGAAGGTGTACAAAATTTCTATGCTAACGTGCTTCTATTTATCTTGTTTGGGAAGCCATGGTAGTAAAATATAGAGTTTATTTTTTATTCAGTCAAGTGTATACTTATTTCAATACAATATAAGTCAAAATTATGAATTTTAGGGTTTATTTAGCATGTTTTTCAATGTTATAAAGTTCAATAAATTTCCAGTACATGATTATTCGTAGTTGGATGAAGGGAAACTGATTTTAACTTCATTTAATTAAATAAATTGGAATCTATTTTTTGTTACTTCTTATAACGAATCAGTCTTTTGTTAGGTCTGTTTTTTCTTTTCTTTTATTTTTTTACTTTCTGCTTTATTTGTGCCTTCCTCTCATTTAACTGTGTGTTTTGGTTGTGTTATATTTTGGGTTTTATATGTGGTGTCGTTGTTCAACTTCAATTTTATCATAATTACTCTGTGTTGTGTGCTTTTCATTCCATGTCAAAGTATTGCTTTTAATTCTTGTTCATGAGGATTAGCAGTGTGGCCTCTGTATAGAATCTTCATGTGAATGTGTACGAGGATTATACGTCTCCTATAGAAAGTGAATGGAAGTTGACTCTATAGCTTGGTTGCTTTCTGTGTTGCTGTTCTAATGTGAAATGTATGCATGCACACCAACTCTTTTGTATGTTTCCTTTGATGATGGCCTGTATTTATTTGTTTATTTGTTTCTGTTTTATACCTAATTTGGATAGGTACTTGTATCTGGGAAGGAAGAACAAGAGGCAGTTCTTTCCCCTGCAATGGATGCAGTGATAAGAATATTCAAGCGGGTCTCTGGATTATCTGAAACTGATGCTGAGAATAAAGAATCTGCTGCTGGTCTTGCATTTTGTTCCATCCGTTTATTGGTTGCATCGACACAGGCTATTAGTTTAATTGGAAAACAAGGCTCGTTAATCAAATCTATTCAGGAGAATACCAGTGCTTCTGTTAGAGTGCTGTCAGGAGGTATGCTTCCTATTATCTACATGGATCTAATGCAATGATATGGGTGTCTTCTGCATGCAAATCCATTAATGCACACAGACACATATATTATGGGGGGTTTTAATGTAGAAAACCAATGATGTTTAAGACTGTCCATAATTGTAGATAACAATTGAAATTCTGTGTTGGATACTTTCTTTTTATGATTACTGTCTATTGATTAAATTAACAATTAATTAGCTGTCTACTGATTAGTCATGAACGTGTTCCATAGCCATACCATCAACTTCCTTAAATCTTTGTCTTTTAAAATATTGTATGTGCATGTTAAGAATTATAGGTTTATGTAGTGAAGAAGCTAAAGAGAGAAAGACAATTCAAAGTAATAAAGGGGTGCTTAGAAGAGCTTATTTGAGTTTATGAAAATAGCTAGACTCCCATAATCTCTTTACAACTCATTTTAATAAGCTTTTTGGTGTAGCTTATCAAAACCAGCTCTTTTTAGCTCATTCCTTTTCTCAACTTTTTCCTTCTTAACATTTCTTATTTATTTAGCTCTCACCTTTTTTCTTCTGTCCTTTATTTTAAAGAACAACATTCACAACCCTAGTGTATTATTGGTTGGATAACATTAAATAAAACTTGTCTGAGTTTGGTAGGTAATTGCTCGTCACAAATAATCTCTGATGTCTTTTTCCATTATGTCGCTTGTATCCTATGTGTGATTTCCTCATTATTCCATTATTTTATAATATTGATTCTAGATATTCAAACTGAGAAACTTGTGGTATGACATCTTCACCCTGTTTTACTTCTAAGCTGTATTTCTCGTCTCTTGTTAAAATTGCAATGCATATGTTGTCTAACATATGCAAAAACCTTTTGTTGCTGAAGTCTATTTCCAAAGCTCAAGTTTAAAGTTAACTTCCCTTGATTCCTTCATCAATTTATCATTCTCAAAAAAATACAGTTAGGGAAATTCTTTTGTGTCCCAGGTAAGTATGTCTCAAATTAGATTAAAGTTAACCAAGGACGTAAGGTTGAGCCTTGATGTAAACTTATCTAATTATCCATAGAGGAAAGTCCTTAGTCTCGTCTCTTGGTTCAACATGTCTTGTATAGCCATGATATAATCCACGAAAAACAACTTTTTTTAACATCTTTCACAAGTCACAACACTTTTTGCACTTGATCATAAGCATTTTCAAGTTAATTAAATTCATATATTAGTCTCTTTCTTTTTTCTTCAATATCCTTCTATCATCAAGCCATGTAAAAGTTAAATTACTTTTGTTGTAGACCTTCATGGCATAAAATAAAACCAAATTAATTCTCCGTAATCCTCATCTATTGTCTTAACTATGCTCAATCACCTTTTCCATATCTTCTTAATGTAACTCATAAATTTTATATCTCTGCAGTTTAAACAATTCTAAATATCTCCCTTGTTCGTAAGTATAGGAACCAGAATACTCTTCCTTCTCCCTCAGACGTTCTCTTAGATTTCAAAATCTTATTAAATAGCTTAGTGAGTTAAATGATACCTTCTCCCATACACTTCCAAACTTAAATAGGAATACAACTTAGACCAATAACTCTTTAATTATCTATCCTTTTAAGGGTTTCTTTGTTTCTCCAATCTAAACTCTACAATGATATGCCAAATTTTGTTCGTCCTCTTGGATTTCTAGTCTTTCCATATTAAAAGCCAATCTTTGTCCATTGTTGAAAAGCTTATAAAACTAATTCTACTATCACTCTTTGATTTTTTGATTTGTGACCAAAACTTTCCCTTCATTCTTAATACATATTAATCCAATTTTTTTTTCTCTTTATTAGCAGGCTTATACATCTTACACTCTCTATTCTCTATCTTGAGATTTTTGTAAAACTAGTATAGATCCCCTTGTATTATTTCTACCATTCCCAAGAAAGAAATATGCACTAATTAATAAATTATATTAATTTGTTATATAAATGGAAATGTTTTAGAGTTGTTCAAGAATATGATCCTCCTGCTTGCTTGTGAAATTTCCATATAATGTTGTTGTCATATGGTTAGGCATCAACCTTGTAGTCCTATATGGTAATTTCTTTGTATCTATCAACATGTGCATTAATGGGTATTGTGAATAGAAATTATTGATAGTTAAATTGATTTTATCTGCGTAAGTCCCTGTGGCTGTCCTGTTTACTTTAAATGCAATATCACTGTTCCCAGATTAAAATAAGACCTCCTTAGACTATTCATTTCTTAAATTTCATATTTATTGTTAAATCTGGATGCAATAATGCTAATGATCGGAATACATTTTTTCTCTTCTTTCATCATAGCATGGCTTCCAGTTTGCATGCAATGATTTAAACTATAATATATTATTTTAATGGCAAATATGTTCATGAAGATGAGGTGCAATTTTATTCAACTGCGGATGAAAGGATTGTGGAAATTCAGGGAGAAGCCTTGAAGGTCCTTAAAGCTCTGGAAGCAGTAGTAGGCCATCTGAGGAAATTTTTGGTTGATCATAGCGTTCTTCCCCTGTTTGAGAGAAATGTAAGCTCCTATTTTTCCTGACCTCAAATTAGAAAATAACATATATTTTAGGGGGTCTCACCTTCTCAAATCCCTAAAATGTAGTGTTTTGTCATTATTTTTTATGTTCTTCACATGACTGTTTAAAGGAAATTTCCATATAAGATATGCACTGAGATCATGCAGCTTTGTTGTGTTTTTAATTTTTTTAGCTTTCTGATATACATAATTTTCTAAATATTTTACTATATATGCTTATATTGTTGTATGTGATTTTTGTGTTGTTTAAGTTCAATGCACCAATCTCGCAAGACCGTCAAACAGAGACTTGGTCTGACAAGTCATTGCTGCATAGTACTTCACGTCCCAATGTATTTCCCGATATGCCTCTTTCAACGAAAAGGGAGTCTATCTTAGCTGAGCGTGAAAGTCAATTGGACTCATTATTCCCTTCCTCCACTATGTCTCTCTATGGGCAGGATTCTTCACTTTCTAGTGTTCGTTCTTCTGCTTTAGGCCGTCTTGGTGCACCTATTGTTACTACGGTTAGTTATATTAACCCCGCGCATGTTTTCTGCTCATTGCCTTGCATGAAATTTACTGGGGAAAGGGACTGATATTGTGATTGCCTCATTTTGTCAAGTTTTTCTAATTGTTCAAATATAATGTGTGTTTTTGCTACCTATTGCGAAAAGATATGTGTGCCCGAGTTTTGTAAAGTTTTACTAATTGTAAAAGAACACGAACATGCACACACACACGTGATTGCAACTATTTTGTCAAGTTTTACTACTTGTTGCAAAAGAATATACATGTTGTGTGTGACTGTGTATAAGATGATGATCTGGCTTAAATTTTTCACAGCTTATGACGTCTATTGACTTCATCTGCAGTGAGCTAAAGACAAATATATGTGCTCATTCTTCAGTCTATATATTTTGTTTATTTATCTCTTCTGTCGATATTTATGGTACCTTCATTCACCCAATAATTTCCACATTTTAGGTAATACAAACAATGCAAATACCACTATCCTATGCGGAAGACATAATTGGTATTCAAGGGACTAATATTGATTACATTCGCCGCACTAGTGGTGCTGTATTGACTGTGCAAGAGAGCAGAGTGCCTGATGAAATCGTTGTAGAAATAAAAGGCACCTCATCTGAGGTTCAAACAGCACAACAGTTGATTCAGGTATGAGACTTCAGAGGGCCTTTTCTCCAAAAGAAGGAAGCTATATATTTCTGTTTCTGTTACTCCTGCATGATTATCCTATTTATTTACATAATGATATGCATGGTCGGATGTGGTGGTTGTTGGTATTTATGCACCGAGGTCTTCCCTTTCTATATAACATAGTTTCTCATTCTTTAGCCATTAATGGTTTACTTGGAGGAGTTCTTTAGGACCACTTGCTATTACTTGTTTTCCTCATCCTCATCTTCTTGGCCGAAGTCTTTTATCACTAAGTGTACTTGATAGTGCAATGTGAGGATTGAAAGACAACAAATTAAATTCGTTCGTAGAGAAGTAGGAAATGATAGATGATTACCAGTGTCCTTTTAGTTCTTTGTGTGTATATGCAAGGGTAGAAGCCTCATGAAAGCATGGTAATTTTGATTTCCTATAACTCTGTATAAACTAAGTTGTTAGGTTTTCCCCTTACTTCATCAGTCCAACCCAAGTAGGCGAATTGTTTGGGAGTTTTGTTTGGCTTTGGCAAATGAATAGGACTACTTTTCAAAGATTATATCCATTCCAGAAGGAAATATGCTCATGCACAATACAAAATTAAGCAAAAGTTCAAATTTCACATTATTTTTTCTCGGTTGTCACTAGATTGTACTATTTAGAGTACTTACTATCAGGGTATAGTTTGTATCGGATTAATTGAGCTTACAAAAGTTCTTTCCTCTGCATTGCAGGATTTTATAAGCAGTCACAAAGAACCTGCCACTATCAGTTACGGCAGGCTAGATGCAGGTTCGAGATCTTCATACTCTCACTTGGGCACTTCATCACGCCTCCCATCTTCGTTGTCATCACAATCATACACAAGTTATGGAGGTTCTGGTCTTGGAGACTACAGTACTTTCAGGCTTTGAATTGGTTTAGACTAGCTTCTTTATAATTGGGTCTGATGGGAGAGGATTAAAACACTTGAGAATATCATGAAACCTCAGAAAAAGCTTGTTTTTATGTATTTCATTGATATCATCTTGTATCGTGGGTAATTTTAGAGGTGGCCAGTAAGTAGATGAGAATTTTTATAGAAAATGTAATGAATGTTATTTAGCCATTTTGATTATTTTGTTTTGGTCAAGTGTGCATGTGGAGCAGGTGCAATAACAAATATATATATTGTATTACTTGCTAGATATTTCAAACGGATAAAGTCTCATTAATTAATTATGTTAATTATTTTAAATATACGTTTATCTGAAACTAAGATATCTTATATTCTGTTTTTGACTTGGGCTTTGTGGGATCCTTAACTTTCACATTTTCGTAAAAATTATCAACTTTTTTAGTTTTCATGTTTTTATCAACTCTCAAAGTCGATGCTTTTTTTCTTGAGTTATTGGGTTAATATAAAAAAAAAAAAATTGCTAGTTACCAATATTAGGGGCACTTGCTTTCCAACACCCATAACTTTTACTTGCACCCACATATTTTTAGAAGGACAATATTATTCCTATAAGATTTATTTTATTGAAGTAAAGCAGATTCGGAAACAACGTTTTGAAATTTTGAAACTGTTTCGTAATCACTTATTCGGAATATTGTAGAAAAAATATAAATGTTGGAATGAATAATTCAAAAAAAAAAAAAAATCAAGTTAAATTCAATTACAATCACTGCAAGTGAGACATACCATTTCCCTCCTCACTCTCTACCAAGACAAGTGTGTTCACCCAAATAAAGTACCCTAAAAATTTAGCCACAGTCAGCTTATAAAGTTTCCTAATTCCTGCATCTCTATAATTTCTTTTTGCACCCCTTCAACATATGCAAAATGATAAAAATACATTTTTACTAATATTTGTTTGAAACCTTAAAAAACTTCTTCACTTTTGCATTCCTCTACACCTCCATATCTCCTTTCCAGCTCCATAACTCCTACATCTTCATTTTGCTATCCTTCAACGTTCATTGATGATCATTTTTAGCCCATAAAGTTATAAATTGTTAATGTTTTATACTTATTACAAAATATTTGTCTTAATATTCATGAAAAATAAATTGAAAGTGTACATAGGAATCCATATTACTCAACCTATAATGCATTTCTAGACTTGAAAGTGAGTTCCATAATAATTAATCCATAATGTATTTTCAGAACATTAAATCCATAAATTCATTCTGAATTAGTTGTTCAAGAATGCATTTCTAGATTGAGTGTTCGAAAATGCATTCTAAATTGAATGTTCTAGAAATGAGTTCCGAAACTGTTAATCCAAAATATATTTTCAAAACATCTCATCTGAAATACATTTTCAGAATATTCAATATAAAAATACATTTCGGATTAGTTGTTCCGAAACTTGTTTATGGATTGAGTATTTCAAAAATAAATTCTGGATTTGGCGTCTCAAAAATAAGTTTCAGAACAACTAATTTGAAATATATTTCTAAAACACTCAAGTTGACAAAAAATACAAATAAAAAGGTAAAATGAAATTTATTTTAATTAGAGAGACATGAATAAACAACCATTATAAAAAGTAAGAAGAATTGGTGCCCACGAAAGTTATCCAGAAAAAAAAAAAAAAAAGGCCATGGGTAGTTATGTGATAAATGTGCATGTAATCCGGTACTTCAAATTTTTTTATTTGTTCCTGATAGTTATCCCATCACTTAATCCATCTATTTACATTATGTATATGTGTTTTTAATTCAATTATGATTAAATAATTATTTAATAATTAGTTTGAGGTAAAGCCTAAAAATCATTTACATCTTATTGTGTCTACAAGATTATAAAAACTTTTATAATCATATCATTTAACCAAAAGATAAACATCTTCACAAGATTCATTAAAACTTACTATTTCAATTCACATTTATTTCTCACTCATTATTATCTTATTCAATTAAACATAGTTTGATTATTGTTTGATCTATATTCAACTAGCATCTAGTTAAAATCATCATTCACATTAATTTTTTATCTTTTTTTATTACTAAAAGGAATCTAAAAAATATATTTAAAGAAGAGCTAAACAAGTGACTCGATACACTATTAGCTACTCTTTATTATCTAATTATTTATAGGTTGTAAGATCATGCAATAAATTTTGCGTTACCATCTTGTAAGGACAAAATACTATTTGTCTTGGCCAATAACCAAGATGAGACACCCTCCATAGTTTAAATCCACAAGAATATATTTCACAAGAGTTTCACAAGCTCATTCCGATGCAGTGGGTGACTAATTATGAGAAGTTCCATAACTATCAGAAACACATCCAATTCACAGAAGCAACGTTTAGAAGATCTGTAGATGGCATTGTCAGAACTATCTTCAAGAATCCAGAGGATGTTTCGAGTTCGAGCACCTCCATATTCTAGTCGATGATGATAATGCCCTTCACCAAGGAAGGCAAAATTCCTATCTTCATTGACAAGATATAGGAGAACAATTCATCTGGGATGCTGACCCAAACATGTGTGATTCTGACTGTGACTGTTGCGACCACAATGGAGATACTAGTGATGAGGATGATGATGACTTCAAAGGAGGATCATGCAAACCTCCTTTCACTCCTCCTAGGAGATTCGAACCTGGAAAAGGGTCGTTGATAGGAATCCACCGCCAAGAAAAACCATGTCCCTTGTGGAATATCGAAGATACCTAGAGATCCTCGAAGAGGAAGGTCTCTTCTTCTCCAAACAAGAAAGGTGCACAACCTTTGCCATGCCACCTTAGTCTGCTCCTGTAGCTTCTCCTATCCCATGCATGATGATCAACCCTTCAGCCTACAAAGAAGAATTTCCTCCGTTAGAAAGAAAAGTTGATTCAGTGTCTAAAACGACAACCAAAACATATGTCGTTTGCCAAGAGATTGGACCATATGGGAAGACCAAACCCTTAAGTCAGGCCGAAGAAGACTAAATTGGCTGACGGAGAATGCTAGAGCTCAAAATTCTATCTTGCAGAAAATTGATAAGAAAATAGACAAAATCTCTACACACCTTGAGGAGACTGACGACAAGCTACAACACGAGGAAGCATTATAAACAACTCTTCTCTGAAATCTCACGGCTAGAAGACTAGAAAAACACCGTCTTCGGAGAATTATCTCATGCCAAAAAAAAAGGGAGATCAGAAGGCTCAAAGCCCAGATCCAAGAAATGGATAGTTACATTGAAGAGAAAATTAGGCAATAGAAACCAGAGAAAGATCACTATTCATCCCTGTTCTCTTCAACTCCCGCCTATTTTCCTTTCCAAAACCCGTCTCCTTACTTCAGACCAACATCTACATGGTCCCTACCAACAGTGACTGCTTATAGACCCAGGCCCAGACCAGTAACACCCAAACCAGACAAAGGAAATAAGGTTGTCCAACCTTTTTCAAAATCTTCTTTTAATGAATAACCTTCACCTAAGAGACAGATCCAACAAGAACCATTTGACCCGGTCTTTCAAGATTCTCAAGACCCATACTCTCAGATGACTATAGAACCTTGTCCCTCTCCGATTCATTCGAATACTCCTTCAACTCCGGATACTCCTACAATGCTTGAAGAATATTCTTCTAAAGAATCAGAAACTGGAATCCTTACTTCTGAAGAGTCTGAAACGGAAGTTTCCAACTATGAAGATCTTACTCAGATACTAATGACCAGTACCTCCAGATCAGAAGTAAGACATAAATCAATCTATGACCCTTTGGATGAAGAAGTTGACTCTGGCCCCACAAGGAGAAATGTGTCTTCAAAGGCAAATGGTGGACCTTGGTTCATTATTGGTGATATTCCTCCCAGCCAATGGAGAGTCAGACTGATTAAATTTGGAGCATAGTTAGACACCAAGTTAGTCAACAATTCTGACTCCTATAAAGTCATTGAAGAATTCTGTTGCAGAATGACAGGTACTTTAAAAGGATGATACCATAATTTGAAAGTTGTTCGACAAGCATTACATGAAGAATTTATAGGGGATGGTTCAATCATTGACAAGAAACTCAGGCAAGAGTTCTTTAAAAAGAGATGTTGCTCAGTCAATATCAAAGACTTGGAAAAATACTATCAGAGAATGAGCAAGATATTCTATAATCTCGATGGACTCAATGATCCTAGCCTGAAGAACACCTATGTCGCATCTCTTCCTGCTGAGATACAACTAGAGCTGAAAAAGATGGTTGTCTATCCAAAAAGACTTCACCACTTTAAGGATGGGTTAAATCCACCAGATGACTTTAGAGGCTGTTGACAAGCTGTGTAGACATCTTGAGTTCTTTTCGGACGTTATGACTCAGAAAAAAAAGTTCAACAAAGTCTGTTAGAAACCTTATCTCTAGATCAAATACAAGAAGCCCTGTTCAAGCAATTGCAAAAAGAAGAAGCGCGAAAAGTCACTTTTCTGCAAGAAGAAAAATTTTAAATTCTTTAAGAAAAAGAAGTTCAGAGGGAAAGAACAAGATCAAAGGTGCTTTATTTGCAATAGAAATGAACAATTCTCCAAGAAATGTCCTTATAAAGCTGAAAGAGCGATAAAGCTCATCTCTACTCTCCAGCTTGACAACAATGATGACATAAAATCTCTCTATTCTGAACAAAGCTCTACTAATGAAGAAACTATCTTCGTCCTCAACATCTCCTCTGATGAGACTAGATCAGAATATTCCCACAAATCAAACACTGACATTGTTCTAGTATTCTTCTTTTAAGAGACTCATTCTATCAATGTCTCTCCTCAACAACCGTGCTTGGAAGTCCAGCTCCTTCCTTCAAGATATGAAAAATCTATCCAAGCCATAACCTATCTCGATATAGGAGCCTAGAGGTCCATGATGAATCCTGATATACTTCTTAAAGAATTCTGGAAGAAGGAAGTTTCTTATTTTGTTGTGGACGATGGAAAAGTTTTTAAGACTGAATTGATCACCAAAGCTCAGATTAAAATAAGATTCTTCCCAGAATCTACAGTTTGGAGTAAAGTTATTAGGAGCAAACTTTCCAACAAAGATATTCTAATAGGCATGGACATCTTCTCCATGACGAACAAGCTTCAAATCCATCCTACAGGAATCAAGTTCAAACAAGAATTCAAATCTTTCACAGATGTACCTAGGCTTTTCTCTCTATCTAAAACTCCTCTAGATCTTGAAGAAATAAAGAACAAGTTAGTATCTCTGTGTGCTAACAACCATGAGGAATTCTTTCATCCCAAGCCTCTGTGGAAGAATATTGAGTTCTTTGTACAGTTACCCTTCAAGCTCAACGAAGACATCAATCTAACGAAAGCCACACATCTAGGAATGTCTCCATCAAATCTATAGTTAGCAAGACAAGAATGTCAAGAACTGTTGAAACAAGGCCTGATCAAACCAACCCAATCCAATTAGGTCTGTCAAGCCTTCTATGTGGAAAAAAGGTCCGAAAAAACCAGAGAGAAAAAAATGTTAGTTATCGACTACAAGCCTCTTAACTATTTTCTTAAGGATGATAAATTTTCAATACCTAAAGCCTCATCCTTACCCACTCTGATAAAAGAAGTCCATATCTTTTCTAAGTTTGACCTCAAATTTGGATTCTGACAATTAGGCATTGACCTTGCTGACCGATACAAGACTGCTTTATGTATACCCAATACCCAATACTAATAGAAAGTAATGTCTTTTGGGCTTAAGACAACCCCATCACTATTCCAAAAAGCCATGACAAAAATCCTTGAGCTCATACTAGACAGAGCGATTCTTTACATTGATGACATCTTACTGTTCTCACAAGACATTGACTCTCACAAACAGTTATTGGATTAATTTTTCGAAATAGTCCATCAACATGGGATTATGCTCTCAGAAAAGAAGATCCACTTGGCCCAAGAAAAAAATTGACTTTTTGGGAATGCATTTTTGTCGCAGCTCTTATCAACCTCAACCTCACATTGCTGAGAAACTTATCAACTTCCCAGATGGAAATCTAACTGTCAAGCAGATCCAACAATTTCTCGAGATAATCAATTATATTACGGAATTCATCCCTAACGTTGTCAAGTACACAAGTCCCTTATCCAAGATCTTAAAAAAGAATCCACCTCCATGGGGATCAGAGCATACCAGAGTCATTAAAGAAGTGAACAAGATAGTCCAAACTCCTCCAGCTCTGAAGATTCTAGGCAACGGAAAGTGAGTACTGCAAACTGATGTCAGTGATGAATACTGGGGAGCAGAGCAGTCATAATCTTCTAGTATGACCATGATAAAGTGAGTCATAATCTTATCACGCTATTTTGTCCTTTGTAAGGTCATTATGAGGTGTGTGTTGTAGTTTTATTATTTTATTTCGGATTCCACCTTGTAACATAAGTTTCGGGTCTGAATCTCAATCTAGTTTAGCGTAGCTTTGGATTCCGCTTGCTTGTTTTTGCTATAAATAGGGGATGTTTGTAATGTTATAATTCAGAACATGATAGAGTGAAATCAATACAAATTCTCTTTCTAGAAATATTCTTTCTCTAAGTTTTCTCTTCTCTGAAAGCTTTAAGCTATAGTTTTTAGTATTGTTCCCTACTTAGATACAAGTATTTTCTACACTTGCCTCGAAAGATGTTCATGTGTATTAGAAAACTTCATATCTATGAAACCGTTTTACCGCAGAGTACTCTATTTATAAAAAATATGAATTTGAGTGAGCTTTTAATCAAGGGATGATACTGTTGTACCCGAAGAGATTCATATCACCGTTATTTCTTGTTAAAAGATAAATATTTTATCTTATGCTTAGTCTCTGTGAATTAAAATTGTAATATATTTTTAAGGGTACACTAAATGACGATCACGTCTCCTTCTTTAATTTTAAAATAAACATTAAACTCTTTATAATAAAATGACATAAAGATTTTTTTTAAAATATAAATTCACTCTTATATATTATATATTTTAATAAAATTACATTGATTATTTTATACATTTTACTAAAATTTCTCTATAAAAAAAATTCTTACCCGGTCATTTTATTAAATCTAAAGAAAATATAAATGTAATAGAAAAATTTCTCTATCAAAATTTATTTATTATTTTCAATTTATAGATGAATATTAAAAACACAAACAAACTTCAATAATAAACGTAAAATGAAATCCTTCAAGTCGTGTTCGGTTTGTGTTTCACCCTCACTAACACAACTGAACGGATATTTCAAAGTATAAATCACTCACACTGCCTTCGCGGTTAATCGAAACCCCACACACTCGCTTCCTCGAAGTTCAAATGACGACGGAGCAGACCAAATTCAGCGTGTTGTGCAGTCTCTTCACGTGGACGCAGCGCAGCAAGTCCGCGGCGAAGAAGCGCGCCAAGTTCCGTAAGTTCCTCGACGCCTTCTGCATTGACCGCAACTTCTTCCCCGCCGTTCGCCTCATTCTCCCCAATCTCGATCGCGAGCGCGGTTCCTACGGCCTCAAGGAGTCCGTCCTCGCCACCTCCCTCATCGACGCCCTCGGCATCTCCCGCGATTCTCCCGATGCCCTTCGCCTCGTCAATTGGCGCAAGGGCGGGGCTGCCACCGGCGCCACCGCTGGGAATTTCGCCCTCGTCGCCGCTGAGGTCAGTACACGGCGCCGTTGTGTCGTTTTTAGGGTTCTGTAATGCTGTTGTACACTGAAAAGTGAACTGTTGTTGGTTTTGATCCAGGTGCTGCACCGCAGGCAAGGGACCGCTTCGGGTGGGTTGACAATAAGGGAGTTGAATGAGTTGCTTGACCGGTTGGCTTCCGGTGAAAACAGGTGCGTTTGTTTTGTTGTTTACAGTTTATCACTTGATTGTTGTCTGTAGCATATTTAGGTACTACGTGACGTTGCGTAAGTTCTGATAGTGGGAAAGTTTGGGAGAACGAACTTTGAAGCTGATGTGAAAAGTTCTCCTTGTTGTTATGGGAATCGAGGTCTGTGAAAAATATGTTGTTTAGCTTAATAACCCGGAGTTTTCGGAACATGATTGGATATCTATTAATCACTGGCAATTTGCCAATGGGATTATTCTTAAATACGTCAAAAGGGTGTTTGACATAAGAGAAAGAGTAAGGTTCATATTTGAAAAGCTTATTGGGAGTTTATTTGGACTTATCTTATGACATAAGCACTTGTGCAAGTTTTTGAGAGTTTATGAGAAATAACAATGAAACGTCCGTAACCTGTTTTCAGCTTTTTTGACTAAGCTCTTCAAAATAGCTTACAAAAGTTATTTATAACTTATATGAAAATGTTTTAGCTCTAATTCCTCTCTGATTATAAAACAACTATGCATAAGTGCTTGCATAATAAGTACTTATTTAGTAGATGCTTGATTAAGACTGATTGAATTAATTTCTTTGTAGACATTTATAAAAGAAGATAATTAGAAGGTCAAATGAATTGAACTTCTTTTACAAGCTAAAATTAACTAATGCACTTTAGTTTTGTCTTGAAGATCCTATATGAACTAGAGATATGACCAAATTATAATATATAAGTGGTTGTAAACTTCATCTTATAAGTTAGCTTTAGGAAGTTGAGTTTGACTTAAAGTCTCCTTTCTAATGTGGTATTAGAATCTATCCTAACAAGATTTGATGGGCCTATCATGTTACTAGATATCAAGCTGGTATTGGATTACCCACAAATATTTAGTTCTATGCTCAAGATGTTTAGTCTTCAACGTGAGAGAATGTGTTGGAGATCTTACATCGACTAGAGATATTACCAAATTATAGTATGCAACCGGTTACAAATCTCACTTTATAAGTCAATTTTGTGAGGTTGAATTAGGCTTACGATCTACTTTTTAGAATGGTATAAAAACTTATCCTAGCAAGGCTTGTTGTACCTATCTTGTCACTTGCTCTGTTATCAGATTGCTTATAAATATCTTGTAGTCTCACATTTGAGATGTTTAGTTCTCAGCATGAGAAGGTGTGTTAGAGATCTCTTGTCGACTAGAGATATAACCACATTATAATATGTAAGTGAGTGTAAATCTCTCACCTTACAAACGGGTTTAGTGATGTTGAATTGACTTAAAGTCCATTTTCTAAGGTTTTGTTAAATAAATATATGTATTTTATATTATTTCATTTTTTTTTTTCTGCTGAAGCTGGTTGGGAGGGTGCAACAGTCTGTGTGTATATATAGAATATTATTTGATCCTAATATATCATATTTATAGGATTCTAACATATGTAAAGAATTCTAACAAATTTGAAGTTAATTTTTCAACTTTTTAAGATACAAAATAATTAATTAAATAATTGTAATTTTTTTCATTTAGTATTTCTTTTCAGTTGATAATATAATCAATTTATTTAATATTAATTGATTGAAAAATTGTTGATCTTTAGTAATTTATTAATTTTAGTTTAGAAAACTTTTTTGTGCTGAAGCAATGGGATTTGTTGACAATGTTCCATAAGCAATATATTTGTGATATGTAATTACATTTATGACCATCTGTATTTTGGTGGCTTTGTTTTATCCCAACATCTACATTATTAACAATGAGGATGTGTATTCTTATTAGGATTAATAGGATAAGAAAAGTATGCTAATGACATAAAGGTAATTACTAATTAATCAGCAGAGAGAATGTATCATAGTAAAATGAGGTGCCTATTTTTCAGGAGTAATTTTATTCTTATTATTACCCATCCACTGATTAGTAATTTCTTTTTGTAACTAAAGAATATTAGTAATTAATAATACCTTTGGAGCCTTCAAGCAAGGGGCTTTACAGTCTTATTGGGCCATCCTGATTCCCTGGCCTACCAATAAAAAATAATAAAAATGAAATATCAAAGAAAAGCCCGCTCTTTGTCTCCTATATGCAAGGGGTGAAAGGTAGAAAAGGCACAAAATAAATGATCAATTTTGTTAATGGCTTTGGTTACTGTGCTCTTGTCTCTCTTTAGATGTCAGAATTTGAGTTATGAAATCAATGCTATTTGTTGATTCCAAGGGAGAATATTTGTTTATACCAGATTTTGTTATTTATCAAGTGTGTAGGTTCTTAACAGCCAGCAGATGGGATTGAATTATATTGTTTGCACTTTCATTTTGCCTCATTGTTTGCTGGTCAGTGTTGTAGTAACTTCCCTGTTTGGTGTACCTTTTATATTGTTGGTGTACAAAACATGAAAAATACTTTGCTGTATATTGAACCAGACGACCTTATCTCCCCACATACTTGTCTAACATGTTGCTATTATGTTTTATGTTTTTGGTGTTGAACTGGTGATGTTAAAATATTCTAATGTTCTTAACATTTGGCTCCACCATTCTCTATGTTTTTTTTTATTTAGCATGATTCTCAATTGCGTCATCATTGTTACAGGGCTGAGAAAATTTTGGTTCTTTCTACCCTTATCCAAAAGACAAATGCACAGGAAATGAAGTGGATTATCATGATAATCCTGAAAGGTGTTTTTCATTTATACTAGTAAATTGATTTTATATCTTAAAATTAGATTTGAGCCTGTAACTAAATTCTGTTGCAGATCTAAAGCTGGGAATTAGTGAAAAAAGCATTTTTCATGAGTTCCACCCTGATGCAGAAGACTTGTTTAATGTCACCTGTGACTTAAAATTAGTATGTGAAAAGCTTAGGGATCGGAATCAACGTCATAAGCGGCAGGTTAGTTTTAATTTGGAAAAATAGTGTGAATTATCTTCATTATTCTTTGAACTTGGGCTCTAAATGAACCTAGCTAGATCTGAACTCTAGCATTTTTGGGGTCTGTATTCTTATTGGGGTCAATGTGTTACATTACATCATGTAAATTTCAATGATTAACTAGCATATATTCTGGATAGATCTCTCCAAGACCCTCCGGTAACATACATATGAAACAAGCTTGGTGGACTTATGTTCCCTAGCTTGAGGGTGTGGTTTAATATGTGAATTAGTTGGTATATTTTGTACTTAGAATATGGGATTTGGTCTTGCAATGTTTTCAATACAAATCCATGAGGCTGAGGGAATTTGTCAATTCATTCCTTATTATCAAAGGTCTGAAATATTTCAATCTAAAAATAATGATTGAAATATACATGAAAATTCCTCTCTTCATATTGATTATTAATATGCTTTGTATATATCATTCTTAAACTTCTTTTCTTCTATAGGATATTGAAGTTGGAAAAGCAGTACGCCCCCAATTAGCTAAGAGAGTTGCTAATGCAACTGAAGCATGGAAGAAGGTTTACTTTGCTAACCCTTTAATATCAGTCACTTATGCCCCGACCAAAGCACTTGTCATTCATATCCCTTTCCATGGCTACGGGACATGGAGATTGAGAACATATTGCAATGTTTAGGATCTGACAAGCACCTAAGCACTTGGAAAAACCACCCTTAAATTGCAATGTGTAGGATCTGATAAGCACCTAAGCACTTGGGAAAGCCACCCTCAAAAGTATTTGGTTAGGTGGTAAAACCAAATATTTAAATACTCCACTGCGGCATTCCATACTAAATTATTAATTAATGCGGGATTTTAGGCACTACATAATACTTTAGTTCCTATGTATTTCATGCATAGTGAATTTATTAGTTTGGTACTTATTACTCTTCATTTTTGTGCTGCTTTTATTTAGCTTCATGGGAAAGAAGTGGTTGTTGAGTGCAAATTTGATGGTGACCGAATTCAAATTCATAAAAATGGAACTGAGATACAGTTTTTCTCAAGGCAGGTGCATATATGTGCTTTATATCTAATGTATTTTATATTTTTATTATTTTTTTACTTCGGCCTGTGGACTGTGACCCTTTCACCGCAGGGTATTCTTGTTTCCACCCCACCTTCCCTGTATGTATGCTGTTTCTTACCTTGAAGCCATATGATGCTTGGTGAAATGTTTTATATTTATTCAGCAACTTATATGTTGAAGAAGAAGCATAATGTAATGCAGTATGGGATTCTCATCTTCTTGGGTTTTCCATTGGTCTTGGTATTTCTGAAAATGTTATGATGTTATGTAATTTACTTCTTGTAGATTTTCTTTTTCTCAAGATAGAATTTACTTTGGGAAATTCCAAAACAATGAAGTTGTTATTTATTTTTTCATCTTTGCAGGAACTTTATTGATCATTCTGAATATGCACATGCAATGTCAGAAATCATAATACAAAATGTTCTTGTAGATAGGTGAACATTTATTCTGCTTTTATATTACAGTTTCGTTTATTTCACATAATTTCTATCCCATTTGTTTATTCTTCTTTAAGGAAAGGTGCATGCAACTATAACATGGAGGGGCTATGTTTGATATAATAATGTTATCTACAAAAGTAGTGTTTGTATGTTTCTTAAATAGCTTATGTATTTTATTTTCTTGGGTCCTTGCAATCTTTCTTAGGTGCATCCTTGATGGTGAAATGTTGGTGTGGGACACATCCGCAAGACGTTTTGCCGAGTTTGGCTCAAATCAGGAAATAGGCATGTACTTTAATATGGTTTGATCACATCAACCTTTTGTTTGTTTCAAAAGTAATTTTATGCTGTTTGGTTTGGGACAGATTTAGAGAAGATAGAAAATAATATTTGGGACACATCTCAACAAAAATAAGTCTCTTCCTTGTTTGGAAGAAAATGAAGGAAGCAGGCAAAAACTTCTGTCATAAAATGTACATATACTAAGTCTAATTATGTCTTTATATGTAAAAAATATTTTCTTTCTCCACTCTTCTTTCCAACCAAATGAATGGAATGAAAACTCAACTCTTTCTCTTCTACTTTTTATCCGACCACCTTAAATATCTATTCATTTTGTACTCATTTTCTTTTATCCAAACAAAGCATAAATCTTTAATTTTCTGCAACACAACACAACCATCTAATATTTTTTTTTTATGTTTTTGGCAGCCAAGGCAGCAAGAGATGGACTTGATAGTGAAAGACAGGTTATCTATTTGTAATTTTTATTTTTGAATGAGAAACTATCTTGTTCAATTTTAACCTTTTCGTGGCCCTTTCTTGATGCAGTTATGCTGTATCCTTTTATCTGAACATTTCAACCATTAATTCCAGCTATAAGTAAATTTGATATGGTTTTGGTTTCAATGAAAGAATGAATATTTGTAGGTGATGAATATTTTATAATTCAATTAAAATTTATATACTGTATGCCTTGACTTGAGATTGACTAGATGTTGCATTTGATATCCTTTATTTTGGAGATACTAGCGTGATTCACCAAACGTTGAAGGAACGACATGAGATTTTATGTAAAATTGTTACGCCAATGAAGGGACGTTTGGAAATTTTGGTACCTAATACTGGTATCAACAGTCATCTTTCTTCAGGTAAGATTTTCTCATGTCTTGTCTTGTGTACTCTAAGGAATTTCCCCATAAACACTTTCACTTCAATAAAGCTTTCATGGTTGCAGACTGCTGATGTTGTTTCAGTTTATTTTTCTTTTGCACCATATAAATGAAATTTATGAATAGGAAATTGTGATATTATTTTCTTGTTGTAACCTGAGGAAAGGCAAAGGCAGAGAAAGATAATGTTTGAGGATTGGGGACACTAATTTAGGTAGGTGATCGCACCTAGTGGTAAATGTTGTGCAGTTGCATTCTTTAAGTGTATTTTGTTGTGTAGCAGAATGCCCACATCTTCAAGGACACGCCTTTACCCTCAAACATTTATAGCGTAGGATTATGCTTATGAGTTCTCAGCTCAAAGCTAGTTGTAGGGAGTTTACATTTTTTATATGTTAAGAGTCTTTGTTACGTATTCCTTGAATTATCATTGTTATTTTAACAAATGGATAGAAGCCATTTACTATGTATGTTTTACAAGCCATTTACTATAAATAGGTGGATTTTACTGTAAGAATTAAAAATCAGGAAAGAGAGAAAAAGTAAGGATTCAAATAATTTTTAGTATACATGTGAGAGATTAAGAATTCATATAGAATTCTTCTTTTAGTTGTATTCTTTCCTCACAATATAGATTCTTCTTTATGTCAATTATCATTTGTATAATTAAATTTCTACATCAAAGTTATGGCATTTGCAAAGTTTGATGTTGAGAAATTTGTTGGCATAATTAACTTCAATATGTTGTCGATGACGATGTTCATTCTCCTCACACAATAAGAATGTGAGTTGGCATTGGAGGGAGAAACAAAGTTGTCAATCGGGCATACATCTACATAGAAGAATTTGATAATGCAAGAGGTGTATTGTATACATTATCACTAGGTAATGAAGTTTTGGCAGAAGTTTCTAGGTCAAAGACTACCAATGAGCTTCAGCAAAACTTGAAAGTTTGTACATATTGTTTAGGTTCCAACATAAAACCAATTGGTAATATTTGAAGTAGCCTAACAGGTATTTAAACCATACCAAATGACATGAGATAGGTGATGCGGGACTCTCAACACGCTTCCTCCAACGAAGTCTGTGTTGCAGGTGACATCAATTGTCCTGTGGTAGAGGCCAAGTGGGTCAGGTCACAATCGAATTGTGACACTTGGGCTGTTACTCTTAAGTAAAAAGAGTTGCGCTTTGACTAATAGCTATAACTTTTGGTCTAGTGGTAAACGCTCGATCCTAACAGTCTGTCGGATCAGGCAAAGGGTATTTTTGACCCACATCGGAAGGACAATTTTTGGCCCAAGATAACAACCGGAAAGAAGTTAGGTTTTAGCTCTAATATCATATTAAAATTCTAACAACTAATTAATAATTCCAAAACACATATATGACAATGTCTTTCCATGATTGTTTTTGTTTGAAGAATCAATTATACACCATGCAAATACATGAAGGTGAGTCCATTCATAAACATACTGACAATTTCTACCTATCTGTTCTTGGTAAAGAACAACGAAGAAGAACAACTTGGTCCTCATCATCCACTACAACATCAATATTTTTCGAACTAATTTGGTTCAAATTGTTACCCTGATGCGGTGGTGTGGTATACTATTAGAGAATACAGAAAGATAAATCTGAATTATCTGTGAATTGTATTATGAAAAAGAAACTTACAAACAACACAATTCAGCTATTTATAGTAGTTAACCAAAGGTACAAATTGAAGTAACAGAATAATAGAAAAAAAACTAACTAACTCAATGCTAATGATTTTCCGATATGGACTATATTGAACTAATACTCTAATACCCCCCACAAGCTCAAGAGAGGAGTGACTCAATAGAGTCAACTTTTTTGAGCTTGGAACAAAACATAACGAAAGAACTAGGTGCTAGAGCCTTAGTGATAATATAAGCATATTGCTCAAAACCTGGAATGTTTATGCAACTGTTTACTGAGAACCTACTCTAAAACAAAAAATGATCCAACTCCATGTGTTTTGGGCAAGAATGTCATATTGCAATATGAACTAGAGCAATTATACTTGTGCTAATTCAAAAAACATGAAAAGTATGGTTTGACGCTTAATTCAGATAAAAGAGTTTGAACCAAAAGAACTTCAACAACAAGAGCCACACTACAAAACTCAGCCCTTGTGTTGGAATGGACAACAATAGTTAGCTTCTTGCACCACTAGTAAATAAGGTTGGGTCCAAGAAAAACACAATCTCTAGAAGTATATCTCCTCTCATCAACATCTGGAACCCAATAGGCATCACAAAAAGTGTGTCAAGAGATAAGAGACCGAGACATATTTGGATGAAAGTGAAGTCCCCAATGCTAATGTAGGAATATTTTGTGCAAGATTAGGTGTTGGGGAAAGTGATTGCAAAAGGTCCTAAAGTGGACAAATTGTTTCATTCCAATTTACTCTTCCTAGTTTCTTTTCATTTGCTTGTAATAATGTCCATTTATACTATTGGGAGTAAGTGTACACGAGAGAAAGTAGGAATAACATCGATTATGTCATTTGAGACAATATGCAACCTATGCTATGCTACGTTGTGTTTGCATAGTCAGAAATAAAAGTGATAAAAGCGGAAAAAACTGTGTTTTAAGTATCTTAATGAGAAAGACGAGAACTAGTTAACGTTGGTGAATGAACTATTACACATTCTAGATCCATCTCCTCTGAATAGCTATTCATTTCATTGTCATGTCATTTCAAATCATCAATATATTTTTGTTATTATGGATCTGCTTTTTAATCTTGAGTTTGCATTAACATTTCTAGTGGCAATACACATCTTTGATACTATTTTTGTTCTCAATTTCCTTATTTGTTAATTTTCACATGATTTATTTATTGAATAAATGAGTTACTATATGCTCATATTATACAGGTGAACCTTGTTGGTCATTTATTGCTCAAAATGTTGATGAAGTTGAGAGGTTTTTCAAGGAAACCATTGAAAATAGGTTGGTTAAAACCTTGATTTACTACTATTAATTTTTCCATCCCTATATATGGTGATATTCTAAGCAACAATCTATAATTGGCATATTTTGTACAACTATAATGTTTCAATGGCCGTTATCCTCAACTTTTGTTCCACTTTATATTACCTTCCCAGTAGTTCTTATTGTATCATGCATACTTACACTCTTTCTTTTCTTCCTTAATTTAGAGATGAGGGAATTGTTCTAAAAGACCGCAGCTCCAAATGGGAACCTAGTGATCGTAGTGGAAAGTGGCTAAAATTGAAGCCCGAGTACATTCAAGCTGGCTCTGATCTCGATGTACTTATCATAGGTATATGATTTGTTCCCTTAGACTCAGATCCTGAAGTAGCTTGTATAACATGTTGTTTCTACTTTGTTGCCTTTACTATTTGTAGGTGGCTACTATGGCTCTGGACGACGTGGAGGACAGGTTTGGTCATATTTCTACTACATTTGGCCTTTTAAGTTTCAAATTTCGTGGTTCTTCAAACTAACTTGTAGCAGTATTTTTTTTATTTTTTTATTTCTAGGTTGCTCAATTCTTGGTTGGCCTTGCAGAACGTCCATCCCCAAATACACACCCGAAGAGGTAAATGTGTCTGGGACTTTTTATGATTTTGATTCCTATAAATGTGTGAAATTATGGTTTTGGTCCCTTTGCATTTAAAAGTGACAAATTTTAGTCCTACATACTTAACAACCTCTCATCTTTCTCCTCCTCCCTTTTGCTCCGTCAACAAAATAGCACATAATCTCAATGATGACCGCCATCATTGTGGCAACACAGATCCACCACTTCACCTCCAACAACCACAATTACTGTTGCCTACTTCACTTTTTTCAACTTGACCAATATGTCAACTCTCTTCTGCTAATCCTTCATTCTCCTCTAGTGCTCCAACTTCTATTCTTAAAAACCTGGTAGAATAACATGAGCTTAATAATGTATCTGTAGTCCATTCAAAATATGTACCAATTCCTTGTGATGTTGACATTGTCTTTGTCCTAGATGAACTGCCTCGTCTTTATCCCAGATGCACTGACTTTGTTTTATGTTTCAATTTGTTTGTGCTGTTAGTAAACCATGGTACTCCATTTGTGATAAAGTTGAGATGTGATACTTATTATCTTGTTTTAACTTATATTCATAGCTATCTATACATAGCTCCGGTAATCAGATCCTTCTTTTTATTGCAGATTTATCTCCTTTTGCAGAGTTGGCACTGGACTCTCTGATGAGGAGCTTGATGTTATAGTGACCAAACTACAACCTTACTTCAGGTAAGTTATATTTTCTGGTTAATTTTATTAATGAGGTAATATTTCATATTGTTTTTCCTTGTGTGTTTAAATTACGTACTTAGTCTAGTGATGAAGCTAAAACTGAATAATGGTATACTCTAATGTATCAAATATCTTCAACTTCTCTGCCTCTTTCTCTGTCAGAAAATATGAATATCCAAAGAAGAGGCCACCAAGTTTTTATCAGGTAACTAATCATTCAAAAGAAAGACCTGATGTGTGGGTTGATAGCCCTGAAAAGTAAGTATCCCCATCTTAATTATGAACTTGTTAAGGAAATTTTGCTTTTAATTTTTTCAATGTTGATTAATATTTACCTTGTCTTCATGAAGATCAATTATTCTGTCTATTACCAGTGATATCCGAACTATAGAATCTGAGGTATGTCCTGCAGAGCGTCTATCTGAAACTGGAAGGATTACAGTCTACATAATCTTTCATGCTTGTGAATTGCAGTCTTAATTAGAATAATTTTATTTACAGGTGTTTGCTGCACCTTACTGTCTGAGATTTCCTCGGATTGATAGGGTGAGATATGACAAAGCATGGAATGAATGCCTTGATGTTCAATGTAAGGGATTTGTGGCATGTGATTTTGGTAACTTATTGATGATATATTGGAATTGTTGTTGCTGTAAGATTGATTTCCTTCTTTTTCTCCCTTTACAGCATTTATAGAACTAGTACATTCTAGCAATGGTACCACACAGAGGGATACAGAATATGGCAGCAAGCAGTACAGTAAACCAAAAAGAATGAAATCCTCCACTAGGGGAGAGAAGAAAAACATCTCCATTGTTCCTTCTCATTTAATTCAAACCGATGTTTCCAGCATTAAGGGGGCCTCCTTAATATTTTCAAATATGATGTTCTGTATCCTGGCTAATTTTGCTAGCTGACTGCTATTTTGTTTTAACATATTTTTGTTGCAAATTTCTGCCTATATAGTTATTTCCACACGTTTAAGGGGGTGTGTTAGTCTTTATAGTCCTTTGCATTATCCTGTATGACATTGTACAACTATTCTATTTTATTCTACAAACTTGCATGACCTGTGCCCACATTTGTTACATTTTTCAAATTCCTTCTTTTGCTCCTTGCTTTTCTGGCAATCCCTTTAGGCTTCATTATATTTGTGTTCCTCTCCTCTTAATAAAACGGCCTTTTGTTGTCACAAAATTGATATTTTATGTTGTCACAATTAATTTTTTCCATTACAAAGATATTTTATGTTGCTTTACCCTTCCTTCCTCATAATATTCCTGATGTTTGACGGTGCAGTATAGTTTACCTTGACATGTGCAGACTTCGCCAATGTGCCTCCATCACATTCTCTGGAGTCCTTGCACAAAATAATTGTTGAGAATGGGGGAACTTTTTCAATGAATTTGAATAAGTCAGTCACACATTGTGTCGCTGCAGACAGCAAGGGTTCTCTAACTCTCTCTGTGTTTATGTATTTGTTCAAATGGATGTGCATGAAAAGAACAAACTTGTTGGCTGAAGATCTAATAAAAGACAGTTGCCTGTACTGTAGGCTTTAAATTTGAAGCAGCAAAGCATCATGGTGATATCATTCATTATGCTTGGGTACTAGATTGCTATGAACAAAAGAAACTTGTCTGCTTACAGCCTAAGTGAGTTATATGACTGAATATAAACTTGTTTAGACCCTGTGAAAGAGTTTCTGATTGTATATTGCTTTCAATGTTTCCTTTGAAAGGTATTTCCTTTTCATATCTGAACTGACAAAGAAGAAGTTACAAGAGGAAATTGATGAGTTCTCAGACTCTTTCTACTTGGACCTTGATCTTGAAGACATCAAGAAGGTAATAGCATTTGCTATGAGCTAGTTTCTATCTTGTCAAATTTTGGACTCGAGTAAAAATTCACATATTGAAATGTTAAGGAAACAAACCACCATGTTAATGTGAAAAATGGGGTATGATTTTCAAATTAAGTCAAGAGTTAGTTAATGCATTTTTCCTTAGATTGTTGCATTCCTTTTCATAGGAGCCAAGTGATAACTTCTTTTCTTTGTTTACCGTGGATCTTTGCCAGATGATGGTTGGTTTACATTGTAAAGAATGACTACTTGATTGATGTGTGCCATATGTTTTTTTTTTCTTAATATTTAGCAAAGTCAAGTTAGTTTATACCTCGGTATCTTGAGTTAACTTTTATTTATATCATCTTTTGCAGCTCTTAAGCAATATTCGTAGGTCTGAAGATGTCAGCACTGTCGATCATTACAGGAAAAAATACTGCCCAAAGAATAAGTGGTCTTTTTTTTGTGGATGTTCCATTTATTTCCACACTTCAATTCCTTCATTGTAAGATATAATGTTAAATTAATTATATTTTTTAACTTCAGCACTTAAATAAGATTTTAGGATTTTGATTATGATCATAGTTTTCATCAAGTTTGTTCCTTAGCTTCATTATTCAATATCTTCATATAGGAAAGGAGATTGGTATTTTATATTGCAACTCTCCTTGAGAAGATTCAAGCTTGAAGTTCTCATGGGTGGTGGAAAAGTTACCTCTAGTCTTACTTCTGCAACCCATTTAGTGATCTTTCTTGTGCCAGGATATCGGATTGACTTTGAACAAATACAGAGTAGGTAAGTGATCTTTCTATTGGTACCTTGTTAAGTGTGCATCATCAACTACTTATGCAGTACAATTTGTTAATGATGGGCTAGTTTTAGTTTCTTAGTTTCCTCTTTGGTCTTTTTTATTTTTTTCATGTTTCTTCCTATTTATTTTTGAGTGGACATCTCATTAGTTGATAGCAACTTTTATAGGATCACATCACCTGTGAGTTTAGGAATGGAAACAAAGCTTTCCTGAAACAAAAGTGTAGTTCTGTGAAAACTTCGATCATAGGCAATTCATAAATAGGATGAGGTTTTGAGTAGACCTTTTACCTTCTTCTTGATTAGCAATGAGAGAACAGTCTAATGTGGGAATTTCTTAAAGATCCCATTTCAACTAGTGATGTAGTCAAAATAGAATATCTATGTCAGTGATAAGACAACCCTCATTGCTTGAGCTAACTTTTAGGCTTGAGTTAGACCTAAACCTAAATTTTAAAAGGATATCATGCAGTTGTATTTGACCACCTATTATTGGGTTGTTATTGGAAAGCACACTGTTTAGTGGTGCAAACTTTCAGGATTGAGATGTACAATTCTTGGTTTAAGGAGTGTGTTGTATATTTCATACTGACTGATTATATAGTCAAAATATAGTATACAAGTGAGACAACCCTCATCTCTTGGACTAGATTTGGACTTGAGTTAGGTTCCAGCCCAAATTCTAAAAGAACCAAAGCATAGAACAAGTGAAGGTGGTGATTCTGAAAGATTGGAGAACATCCTTCAAACAAGGCTGTCCTGAATGTGGCGTCATATTCAGCACAACTAGAAGGCAAGAAGGACTAGAGGTAGGAAAAGGAGTAGGGATTTCCCGGTTAGAAGAAGGATCATAAAATATTATTTTGGAAGGATAGAATCTATCTACGTTACCAGGTGATGACCTAAAGCAAGTGAACAGTTACTTTTACCAAAGTACCCAACTAGAAGGCTCTTGAATTTTTGCAGTGAGCTTTGTTGTACACACAGACTGGGGTAAGATTGTGATTAAAACAGGTACATCCGAAATATGAAGAAAAGGGTCAATAATAGCATGCTGACATTGTGTAAAATGTTGTTTGTATGGCTTGTCTTGAGAGAGAGAAAAAGGATGCAAGAGATGCCGAAAGCCATTGTCTCGGCTTTATATAGATTTAATGCAATAAATACGACTAAATGTGGAAGATAATATTCCTATTTACATGATACAATAGGCCTATAATTAAAAATATCTTAATTAAACAAGGAAACATATCAAATATAAAAGAAGAATATATCCTATAGAACATCTAGTATACTCTTAATATATTTAAGATATGAAAATGATAATATCATCATATTTCTCAAATTTTCTAACATGACTTTGACTATGTAGTTTCACTTCATTAGAAAGAAAATTTCTCCAAAGCAAGAGGTTGCATATAGTTAAATCCCAGTGGTTGGAAGATTGTTCAGACAGCTGTGAAAGATTACCAGAAGACTCCTACAGTTTGAAACCCTGGGGAATAGAAGAGTCAACTGCTGAAGCTTGGTAAGTTTATACATAAGTACCATTTAGATCTGTGACTTTTGGGTGATGACAATTTGGTACCTGTTGTGAATCCAGGTGCTTTAATATTGATATAATATACGCGTTCCTCACAAGTGCTGTAACCTGTAACTATGGTGTTATGCCAAGGTCTTGGGGGCATTTGCACTAGTGTACTACATAACAAATTTTTACTTTGTTTTTGTTGAATATATGGTTAATTTCCCTTATGTATTTACCACACATAGGGCAGTGTATTTATAATAAAGAAAGGTACTCCTCAAAAGAGTAACAGAATACAAATAGGGTAAATAAAAATATATTATTTGATATTGTGATTAACAATATCTAACAATATCTCAACAATATCAAACAATATCAACTAATATCTAATCATATCTAACACTCCCCCTCAAGCTGGAGCATACAAATCGTATGTGCCTAGCTTGGTACAAAGATAATCCATCCTAGGTCCCCGTAAAGACTTAGTGAAAATATCTCGCTAATTGATCACATGAGTTAACGAACTCGAGCCTTGATGTCTCCGGACATAATCTTTTCCCGAATAAAATGGCAGATCAATCTCAATGTGTTTAGTTCTCTCATGAAAGACAGGATTAGAGCTTATATGGAGAGCGACCTGATTGTCACACACTAGTGTCATTTGAGTGACATCTCCAAATTGTAGCTCTTTAAGCAATTGCTTGAGCCAAATAAGTTCACAGTAGCTGAGGCCATAGCTCTATACTCGCTTCGCACTGGATCTTGCCACAACACTTTGTTTCTTACTTTTCCATGAGATCAAGTTACCACCAATGGAAACACAATACCCGGATGTAGATCTTCTATCGGAGGGAGATCCTGCCCAATCGACATCCGAATAGCAGACAACTCTTGTATGATTATGGGAGTCATACACCAAACCTTTTCCAGGAGACTTTTTGATGTACTTCAATATACGGATGACTCGCATTCCAATGATCTTGACAAGGAGAATTGAGGAATTGACTCACCATACTCGATCGCAAAGGAAATGTCGGAGCGAGTAACTCGTAAGATAATTTAATTTTCCAACTAATCTTCTATACTGTTCAGGATCCGACATTGGCTCCCCCGATTTGGCAAGAGTTTGGTATTAGGATCCATGGGTGTGTCAACAGGCTTTGAATTCATCAACCCAGTTTCCTCCAAAATATCCAATGCATACTTTCTTTGAGATATAACAATGTCATCGGTAGATTGTGCTACCTCAATACCCAAGAAATATCCGAGTTTGCCAAGATCTTTGGTTTGAAAATGGTGGCAAAGGTGTTGTTTCATCCGAGAGATGCCATGATGGTCACTACCTGTAAGAACAATGTCATCGACATACACTATCAAATAGATACATCCAAGCATTCGAGTGACTGGTAAAAGACTCGAGTGGTCTCGCCTCACTTCTAGTCATGCCAAATTGTTGAACAACGTCGCTAAATTTTCCAAACCAGGCCCTAGGAGACTGTTTTAGGCCATATAAAGATTTGCGAAGACGACATACCAATCCAGTAAGACTCCCCGAGCAACAAATCCGGAGGTTGCTCCATATAAATCTCTTCTTGCAAATCGCCATTCAAGAAAGCATTTTTGACATCCAGTTGATAAAGAGGCCATTGTTGAATAGCGACCATGGCAATGAATAAACGAACGAAGCCATCTTTGCCACTCGGAGAGAAAGTATCACCATAATCCAACCCAAAAATTTGGGTATAGCCTTTGGCTACAAGGCGAGCTTTGAGGCGATCAATAGTACCATCAGGACCAACCTTGATAGCGAAGACCCACCTGCAACCAACAACAGATTTTCCAGATGGTAATGGGACAAGCGTCCAGGTTCCACTAGTCTCGAAGAGCACCGAGTTCATCTAGCATGGCCTCGACGCCAACCAGGGTGGGCTAAGGCTTCGGAGACGATTTAGGAATAGACACGTAAGAAATAGACGAGAGACAGGTATAAAATGGTGAAGAAATTCGATGATAACTTAAAGCGGTATAATGTGGAGAAGGATTACGAGTAGAACGCGTACCTTTACGAAGGGCAATAGGAAGGTCGACTCGTGGACTGAACCGGAGGAGGCAGAGTATTTGGCACCGGGAGTGAGTCATGTGGCGTCTGTTGTGGGCGAGGTCTCGCGACTATAAACCCGAAGGGGTGGTGGAGGAGGAGGGGCTAATGGTGGATGGTCCTCAACATAAGGATCAATGAGAACAGGAATGGGAACTGTAGCAGATGGAGACTCAGCAGGTAGGGAAGGGTCCTTAAAGTAAAAGGAACACTCATTGAAGGTGACATTGGCAGACACAAAATAGCGATTAAGAGAAGGAGAAAAACACTTGTATCCTTTTTGGGATCGAGTAAATCCTAAGAAAACACATTTGTGTGATCGAGGAAATAACTTATCATGACCAGGATCAAAATTGTGGACAAAACAGGTAGACCCAAAAACCTTCAGAGGTAAAGGATGGAGAGTGTCATGAGGAAATAAAATAGAATGGGGAATTTTGTTATCTAAAACCGAAGAGGGCATACGATTAATAAGATAACAGGCAGTAAGAACAACATCACCCCAAAAATGTTGAGGAACCTCACCATGAATTAAAAGAGTACGGGTTGTTTCAATAAGGTGTCTATTCTTGCGCTCAGCCACCCCATTTTGTTGAGGGGTATAAGCACAGGAAGTTTGATGAAGAATGCCATGAGAAGCCATAAATTGTTTAAACGAGTTTGAAAGATATTCACTGCCATTATCACTTCGAAAAGTTTGAATAGAGACACCAAATTGATTTTTAATTTCATGATAAAAGTTTTGGAATATAGAAAACAACTCGAACGATTTTTCATTAAAAATAACCAAGTACAACGAGAGAAATCATCAATAAAAGTAACAAAATATTGAAAACCTAAATTAGACTTAACACGACCGGGTCCCCAAATGTCGAGTGAACTAAGGCAAAGGGGGATGAGGCACGCTGGGAAACACTACGAAAAAAGGAAGTACGACTATGTTTGCCTAACCGACAGGACTCACACACCAAATTGGACAACTGGGATAAGCCGGGAACAAGTTGCCGTAATTTGCGCAGACCGGGTGACCAAGCCGAGCATGAAGGAGAGAAGGAGACTCCATAACTCGTGCCAACATGTGGAGAAGATTGAAGATAATAAAGTCCATGTGACTCACATCCGGTGCCAATCACTCTTTGCGAGCTCCTGGTCCCGTAGGGAAACGAAGTTTTGGTAAAAGAGATAACACAATCAAGAGATCGAGTTAGACTGGCTAATGGATAATAAGTTAAAGGGGGACTCTGGTACATACAAAACATTATCAATGGACAACGAGGGAAAAAGAGTAACCGTTCCAATACCATGAGCTAAAGTTGTAGACCCATTAGCCATTGTAACGTAGGGTAAATTATGAGAAGAAGTGAAAGAGGAAAATAAGGATTTGTTACCAGTGATGTGATCGGTGGCGCTCGAGTCAAGAACCCAAGGGCCAATAGAAGAAGAGTGAGTCGACTCAAGAAAAGATGTAGCTGTGTGGGCAACATGTAAGTGGAACCGGAGGGCTTTCGATCCTCATACCATTGAAGAAAATCATTGAAGATAGCGGATTTGTCCGAAGGTACAGACGAAGGAGGATCCACAAGCAGAGGATTGTGTGGAAGAATCGGCCCGAGCAACTGCAGCGAGATCGGCGAGGATAACCATGTAAAGCATAACATTTGTCAATTTTGTGGCCTAGTTTGCCACAATGGTCACACTTGACACGCCCTTTGCCTGGCTTGTGAGAGCGATTACGATCATCACGGTGAGAGGCCAAGGCGAGATGAATCATTAGAAACTACGGGGGAATATTGAGAGGTTTACATGACACCCGCAAAAGGGAGGAACTGGTAGCGGTAAACCGGGTGTAACATGGGAACCCAAAATCCGGTCACGAACAGGGGCATATTTATCGAGCAAGTCCGTGTAACATCAAAACCATGAAAAACTTTGATCGTTGCTCTAATTCTTGGGCAGGAGTCGAGGCAGGGGTAATAACTCATTAAATTCATGGAGAAGAGCATGGATCTTACCCACATAATCCGCCACAGGATCCTTATCTCTGGGAGCAATAACATCAAGAAGATTGTAACAAACACCATAAAGACGTTGAGTGTCATTGGTGTATAATAATTTGGCTTGTTCCCAAACGTCATAACATGTGCCATACGATCGAAAAATTTGTTTTAAAGAAGATTGGATGGTATTCTTGAGAACCATACATATATGAGCATCAACTTTCTTCCAACGGACACGATCATTGGAAGGAACATCATCTACCTTGGTAGTAAGATGATCAACATACCCCTGACTCTCAAGCCAAAGTCTAATATCAGATGCCCAAGTTGCATAATTCGTACCATCTAATTTATCAATGGGTAAATTCACATTGACATAATTAGTAAAAACAGATTGCTCAGACCCACCGGAGCTGACAGAGGTAACTTCAGAATTGGAAGTGGCAACGAAGATGCCATGGAGGAAGAGAGAGAAAAACCCTAAAACACCAAAGAGGTCCGATTGGAGCAGCGAGGACAGATCCAGAGAGAGGAGAAGGAGGCGACGCCGGCGCAAAGATCGGCGGCCTGAACGGCGGCGAGACGCGCCGCCACGCGCGGCGGAACGGGAGAAGGTGGCGCGGCTTCGGGAGGCGCGTGAGGGAGCGTGGCTGCTCCGATGACCGCGAAACTTCCACGGTGGAGGTCGCACGGAGGAGGCGAGCAAAACCCTGTGCTCGGCGGTCCGAACTGCTACTCTGGCGACGGCGGCGGCGGACGGCGGCGGCGATGGAGGCGGCGACAGCTGCAGGTTCAGTGGCAGAGCCGAAAAAAATCCCAAGAGACCTTAAGCTCTGATACCATGTTGAATATAGGGTTAATTTCCCTTATGTATTTACCACACATAGGGCAGTGTATTTATAATAAAGAAAGGTACTCCTCAAAAGAGTAACAGAATACAAATAGGGTAAATAAAAAGATATTATTTGATATTGTGATTAACAATATCTAACAATATCTCAACAATATCAACTAATATCTAATCATATCTAACAGTTTTAATAATGTCTTTGAATGTCGATAGTTTTGTGGTGCTGGAATGATTGGAAGTGCTAGATCTATATTCATGTTATGCTAAATCAATTAGATTTGATTTGTTCACTTATTTTATAAGCTTTAATAGGGTTATCTAATGCAAATTAATGAAATGGGGGGTGGGTGCTGGAGTTGACTGCCATAGGGAGTGAAATAGAAATATCAACAACTAAAATGAGATGAAGTCATATTAGTAGAAAGTAATAATTAACGTTAACTTTCTGCAGCAATAATAAATAAGTAGGTTGAAATTGTAAATAAGTCTTTTGACCTTTTTAGACCTTCATTCCAAAATCTGTATCAATTTTTACATGTGATAGAAATTGAAGCTATAGATTGAATTTATTCAGGTATGATTTGCTATGCTATTTGTTTTATCCTGAATTGAACCAAGCTGTTACAGTTTAACGTCACTCTTTTCCTTTAGATTTACATTTAGATAGGATTGTATTTATATAGATTCTCCTATGCAAAGAGATTGAACAATTTTACTTCATTCTTGATTTTTTCTTCCTTGATTTATATTCTCTGCTAATTATGATTTTCCTCTTTTTTTTCCAATGTAACTTTTACCTTTTTATTGAGGGAAAAGGAATCTGATTACAATTGGCATAGTTAATAAACCACAAATCATAAATTGCTTTCCTTATTAACGGGGACAAAATTTGATGAGAAATTGCAATAACAGCTTCAGGAAATGTCCAAGCTCAAAAGCTGCAAATTCCTTTAGTTGCCATTATATTCATCTTGAAATAAAATGAAAGAGGAAAGGAATACAAAAAGAAAAAATTTGACTTTATGTTCCACATCATATTGTCAGACTATAAAGCACCTATACATGGAGAGAAATCATTTCATTGTCTCAGAAAACTGAGCCGGTAGATTGATAAAAAGTAGAATTTAGTATTTGAGAAATCTCTATTTCAAACATGATAGCCCCCTGCTGTTTGAAATGGTACATCAGGCAACAAATGCGAAATAGATGATATTAGCTGTGGTTAAATGTAGGACTCGTCCTCAGTACTTCTATTCTAGCAATATTTTCCTTGGCATTTGATGGTGTTTTGCCCTGTTTCAGTGAACAGGACTTGGCGTTAGAGACTGATCTGAGTGGAGATAATAAAGAGGACCAAAGTACATCTTTCTCTGACAAGGGAAATCAGCAAAGAACTGAAAAATCTGCGTGTAAAGACAGTACGGCCTTGGTATCCCAAGAGAAAGGTAGCAAACGAAAAAGAGGAAGACCTGCGGGCAGTGGTATCAAACACGTAAAACCAGGTGGCAAACAAGCTCGAAGAGCACGACCACAAAATGTGAAAAAGCCTGCTAAAATACGTGAATATGCATCATCAGATGAAAGTGATTCTCGTGACAAGAGACCAGTTGAGCAGGAGATTGACACTAGAGCAGGAAGTCTTTACAAGAAACATTCAGAACCCCAGAAGAATGAGGAACGTGAAAATGTCCAAGTTGCTGGGACGGTGGAAAGTTCTGGACAAAATAAGGTAGACAAGCTGGAGGACGTGAAGAACAATGAGCATGAAAGAATGATGGTTCCTGAAATAGAAATGAGTGATAGGTACAATGACCAAAACAATGAGGTGACTGAGAAATTAGAATTCTCTGCTGACCCACTGCAGGCGATGTTATTTGACATGATTCCTAGCCTTGGCACCCAAAAAGTTGAGCAACCTATGAATCTTGGTGTTAGAGAAGAGAAGCTACCAGAAACCTCCAATACAGAAGCAGGGCCTACAACTTCAAAGAAAAAGAGCGTTAGCTTCAAGGATGTTGCCAACGAGCTGCTTAAGGACTGGTAAATTATGTGCAATTCATTGTTTCTAGTAAAATATACATTCATGTTTATCAACAAATGTATTACTGTTTTCATTGAAGTTGCATGGTGAACATTTTGAAATTTGTAAGATAATTAAAGTTACTTTCGCTTCTCTGCCTTAATATTTTACTTACCTATTTCACCTTAAGTTGAAAATTTAGTAATATAGATTTCTTAGGAATAGTTTAATAATATCAAATGTTATTTTTCTCTTGAATAGTGTTTAATAATATTAATACTTATTATCATCAAAATACATATTTAATTTACGTAATTTTGTAGGGAAAATTAATAAATAAAAATACATTTTATTGCAAAGAGATAAAGATACAAAATATTTGTAATTTTTTTAAGTCATTAAATTCATTAAATTTTTTAAATCTATAAAATCCTTTTAAATATTATGGTTTCGTATTTTATAAATTTTTTAAATTTAAATGATAAAAACTTAATTTAAAAAAAATTATATTATTACAAGATCTTTTAAAATCAACATGATTTTTTTATTTATAAATAAAGTCTTTTTGAAATTTTAATTTGTCCTAATTTTCTGAAGATAGTGAAGCTTCTGTATATTATAATAAGATAGTGGTCTAAAAACAAGTATTTCATTGATGAATCAAACTCTGAAATTAAATGATAGTGTTGATACAAAATAATGCTTTTACAAACAACTTAGTCATAGATGCGCATTATGAAGAAGGTTTCATTTCTTTCTTAAACTATCCCACTTTTTAATTATATTTCTTTTCTACTTTTCTTTTATCCCTTTATCTATCTTCCTCCTTTTTATGAGTGACAATAGGATGTGTCTAAGTGTGTGAGATTCATAGAGTCAAAATGGGGTAACAGTTGTTTGAATGAGCCTCATGACAAGCTTGCCGTTTTAAAATATAAAATGAAAAATAGTTTTAATGAAATTTCAGTTTAATTGTACATCAATCAAAATAATATTTACATTGATTAATTGGATTCATTTAGGGTTTGGAACTCTTATCCAATACCAAGTCAAATAAAAAACAAGTATAGGATCATGATTTGCCAGCCTTTGCCTAATAATTCATATTTTCAAATATTCTGGTCGAAGTTTATCAGTTTGCAGGTGACATTTTTCTTCATAAAATTTAAGAAGATTCATTTTTTTCTAAATTTCAAGTGGGACAATATCTTTTTGATATTAACCTAACTCAATTTTTTCTTTAAATAATTAATCAAAAATATATATTTCTCTATTTATTGAAATATGTAAAATTAAGGTATGAAATTGTAATATTTTCTTTATTTTAACTTTATCGTTATTAATTTCTTTTAAATTATAAAAAAATAATAAATTATCTCAATTTATATATTCAAAATTTAGAACAAGATAAATGTTGTATCTAAATACCGAAAATTGAATGTTTGTAATTAAATCTTAAATGTTTTTAACATATTAGGCTGAGAGGGTGGAATCTTTTTAAGTGTTATAGAAGATTATTATTATCAGATAGATATCCACTTGAGATAATTATTTTTTGAATTGAGACTCACAACAAAGTATATCCTTCCTCCACCACCATATTTTTCCGTGCACCCTCATAGTAAAATGTCCTTTTGTATTTTTTAACCATAAACCCTAATCTAGTACCTCACTTTCTTTTTTCTTTTTTGCATTGCACATTCATATCCCTAGGCTAAAAATTCGTTGTACATGGTTTATGCTTTGAATCATATAAACATTTTTAACATGTTATCCATCCAAAAATTTGATGAGAATCACATTTTACATTTATTATGTTATTATGAATTATTCAATTCAAAATATACTTACAAAAAACACAATTCAAAAACATTTCAGAAAAATTAATCTTGATTGTATTTTTCAGAAAGGTATTTTCAATTGAACAATCCAAAACACATTTTTTAAAAACCTATTCAAAAAATTTTTGGATTGTGTTTTCTAAAGATGTGTTAGAATTGACTAATATTAATAAATATGACTACAATTCACACATTATTATTAAGAAAATAATCATTATTATTAACAACATAATTGTGTGTGTGTAACTTCTATTAGTATTAGTGTATCATACTTAGTTTATTTCACAATTTTAATACTTATTCCAAATTGTGTTCGTTTTTTGCATATTCATATGAAAATAAAAAAGGATTCAGAATGGTTTAAAGTCTTACTTAGAACTAACTACCTCTTAATATAATGAATCTCTTAAGCAATAATAAATGATAAGAATAATAGAAATAAATAATGAAACTAGTTTAGGGTTTAGAAAAGAAACACCAATAAGGAGTGTACGGGAAGAAGAGTAATACAAAGATAAAATCAGATTTATTTTAATTATGAGGTGCAAGAAGAAAACATGGAGTGCGGAAAGAAGTACCTACAACTATTTTATTTGAGTTTTTAAGCCCAACAATGAAGAGCTCAAACTGTCTTTACTATTCTCAACACCCCAAAACTATTTTCACCCACCCTTCAACTAAAAACACAACGGTCATATTCCATCTAAACAAAAACTAACCCACATAAATAAATTAAAGTTTATACATAATTAAAATTTAATAATAACTTTTTAATTAATATACACATTATGAGAGAAAAACAAATCCTTATTATAAGAACAACACTTGATGATACACTGGCACACAAGGGGATGAAATAGGCAAACTTTCCCAGGTGACACAAATTTGAAGAGTTCTGATTGATGGGAATAATGAGTGGAAAAAAAAAAGGGGGTAACTAAACTAAATTGTACGTAATGATGATGAGAAACCTCTACGAAAGGCATGGTCCTAAACTTTTCTTTATACACGAGTGACCCCAAATTCAGAAACTCCCAATTTTAATTTCTTTTTTTTCTTCTTCTTCTTCCTTAAATGCTCATGGGGCTTAGAGGGTCGTTACGAGCTGCAATGGCTGTCTGAATTTTTATCTCCAAATGATCTTTCTCTTCTTCATTAGCCTGAAATAAAATATAATTTTAGCTCTTTTCATAATTTTCTACACACATGTGTGACATTGTTTAACAGTGTTCCTGTTCAACAAAATGAGAAAACAAGAAGAAATAAATTAAAAAATGGTGAAGGAATTATGTTATATCATATATGCAATAGATGTTTGTTAGGGTATTCTGTTAAATTTTACTGAGATTCTTCTGTTTGATTAGATTTATTTTTTAAAAAAAGAAATCTTAGAAAACTGTAATTTTTAAGAATATTTGTAACAATATTTTTTGTTTGACATAGTAAACATATTTATCTCTTAACAACTATGATTCATAAAGAAGTGATTTCTCATAGAGATGATTTTTAAAAATGAAAAAGAAAAATATACACTAAATAGTCCTTAATAAAAGTTAAGAATTTTGAACAAAATATATATAAATATTGAAAAATAATGTTATCCACATATCAATATATTGATGGGTAAAAAATAAACTATGAAATAAATGAGTAGTATAACAAAGATATAAAGAAAAAAATATTATAAATAAATAATATATGCATTGATAGAGTACACATTCATTGTTTTCAATGATAATTACTTTAAAAACGATGTTAAAAAACTAATTTTATAAATTAAAAAAAGTTAAACTTTTACCCTAATTATAGCTATTAAACTCTTATAAAAAATATCAAAGAAATTTTAAGATAAAGCAACTTTATATATAAAGGGAAATAGCCTATGATAATATTAATATCTATAGATTTAGTAAAAGAAATTATATTTTATAATCTCCACTTTTCAGCAGATTACTTTTAATTATTTTCTAAATTATTGATTATTTAATTAACTATTGTCTAAGCTAAACAGCACACCTACTGATCCTTTTCAGACTACAATATCAGATTAAAGTATCAAAACACATAAAAAAATATTTTAATATTTTAAAAATAAAAAAAATATGAACAGATTTTCCACTAGTTATCATAATATATATATCAGTAATAATAAAGTTGAAAGTTTAACACTTAGAACTCTCTGGTTTGACATCTGTATAGCAAAATGAAAGGAAGAAAATAAACCACGTCAACCATGACATATATTTGAATTGTTTTTAGAAAGACAGATAGTGGGGCACTCTTTTTTTTAATCTCAATAATCTTTATCCATGCTATGTTACAAATAAGTTCATATTTAATGGCTATTAAATATTTGTTATGCAATCATATATTATAATTCATAATATCTTTTTGGAGTTGACATTAACTAGGAAGTCATTGAGAACCCACTTTAATAAAGAGTATTTGATTCTTAAACAATGTTCTTAAACCACCAATTATTGAATGCTAATCATAGAAAGCTAAGAATGACACAAATCCAAATGAGGTATATTTACAAATTAACTAATGATAACACTTTGTAATTAAAAACAAATAATTTGTGATTAAATAACTTCCACTATATATGCGTGTCATTTGTTTACAATACCAAATTTAAATGATTTTTGTTATATGTTTTAAGTAAATTAATTTTTCTACTAAGCATTAGGGTTTAAGATGAAGTAGTTTCATTAAAATCAAAACCTACGAATTTCGTCTACTAAAAATACAATTTTCCAATAAACGTGCCTCACAAAACAACTTTTGTGGATAAATATAATTCATGTTTTTCTCCGAATAACAATATTCAATGATGAATTACAAAGGTGGCCCGTTGGAACAGCATCCAATGGACACAGAAAGTAAACACACCTACTGTTTCTTATTTTTAATGAAAAGAAGTTGTTTTCAAAACTTATTTTTTTAAAGTCATATATCTCCTTTTAATTTTTAAAATAATAAAAAAATAAAATAAAAAACAAACAGAGGGAAACAAGAAAGGCTTTCATGTAGGAATTAAAAATTTTTGATATAATAACATTTCTGTCTTATCGTTTGACTTTGAATTAAATATAAAAGCATGTTTTTGTGCTTGGGGAAAGGGTTCCCATGGTCTTTAATTTCTACGTTTTGGGATGAAGACTGAAGGAGTAATAAATGGAATTAGAGAGGGGCTAAACGACAAAGGGTTTTGCGTTTTGGTGAAACAAGACAATGGTTTGAGTAGAGTGAACACATACAAATAGTGTGTGTGTGTGTGTGGGGTGTGGAACTGTAAGCGACATAGTCAGTGTGGAGGAAGGTTCGTAATAATATCGTAGGAGACAAGAATTGTTCTTATTTTTGTTGTTTATAACGAATCGAATGGCAAGAAAAACAAGAAGAACGTGCGCGATTGAAAAACGGCACCATGGGTCAGAGTCACGCCGATTCACGAAGCCCTCTTTCACAAGCAGAAGAACGAGAAACACGTTTTCAAACTTCGGTCTTGGTTTTGGTTTTTGTTTAGTAAAATTTTAATGTTGGAACGACCTAACGCTGGTGGTTTCTCCCAAGTTTAGGTCTGTCCCCTCTCAAACAACAAGGTCGCAGCCATGTGCGAGTGTTTGTTTTCCTTCCAAATGAAATTGACTGTGGAAATGTTTAAGCATGACAAAAATGCAGTGTAGTTGTAGATGTTTTGGACATTATTAAAACTTTGCCAAATACAATGTCACAACCATGGGGGAATACGTTGAAGTCCTGTCAGGTTCTCTTTATTTGGTTTGCAGTTCCATGAATCGTTGCTGCTGTTTTGATAACATTAACCAACTGTTTCTCGTTCTTCTGCTTTGTTTCGTCAAATATTAGAGTAATGGTTTAAAATATATTAAATACATTTCCTTTCAACTAATTTACACGAATTTAAATCAGACATACCCTAAAGATTACTTACAGGTGAACTTGACATCATGCCGATTAAAAAAACACACAAACCTTAAATCCGCTTAAATTTTGTCTTTCGTAAATGTTCAAGACGACGATGATGACAAAATATTAAGACCCGAGAAGCATTGTTTGGCTTTGACGGAAAAGACAGAAAGATGGACCCCAAACTTCTCTCTAGGGAAAGGGACCTATCTAACTCAGATTTTTTTCTTTTTCAACAGAAAAAAAAATGTAAATAGATAAACTATGAAATTTTGTTAAAAACAATAATTGGCTTTTTTTTTTAAGATTTATTTTTTATCCACCATGTTGGAGATGATAATAAAGAACAAAATTAAGCATGCGGAAAAGGAAGCAGAATCTTTTTTATTCCAAGTTTAGTTATAATATTCAAAAAGGGAATGGTCATCTCCTTGGAATTGGATTTCCTATAAGTTTAATTTTAACATATCTAAAGAGACTTTAATAAAAGTTGTTTAATAATGAATATTTTACAGTAGATTTTATACATAAATTATTTAAAATTAAAAAATATATATATTTAAAATTGGATAAATTTTAACCAATTTATAAACAACTTATATATAAAATTTATAATAAAATATTTATTTTATTCATAAATAATTTTTAATAACAAGTATTTTCTTCCTCGTAATTAAAGAAAAGAGATAAGTACGGAAAATATTTCAGAATATTTGAAAATACGAAAATCATACAATATTTTATTTTACTAAGGATTAAAATTATTTTATAATTTGTTTGGATAAAGTTCACCATGAATATTTTCGTAAAAAATAATTCATAAATTAAAAGTAATTTATATATAAACAAGTTAGATTGAAGAGTTTTATATAAACTAGTTTAACCTTTAATGAAACTCGAAATATTTTTACTTTTATTTTTCCTCTCTTAGAAGTATTTGTAAAAAATATTCTAAGAAGAATTGGATAATTTGAAACCAAAAACAATTACAGACCTAGTTTAGAAGGAAAAACAGATAATTATAAAGAATGATTTCAGTTCATAATTTTTGTAGATAGAATAGAAGCTAGGTATTTTATCATGACTTTTACTTATAATGTTAGGATGAAAATTACAAGTCTTGACCTGACTTTACTCGGAAATTCTGGTTACAGCTCTCATGATTGCCCTCAAAAGTCTAAAACTATTGGTAATGGGTGTTGTTCTACATTTCCACTTTAGCAAAAGTGGTCTCATGGTTCCTGAGCATGTAGGTCCTAATTCTGGTTGTAACGTCTTTATTTTGTAATATATACACTACATCGTATTACTATAACATTTATTATCAGTAGTTAAAAAATGGAATCCGGATCTCACACACCTACCCATTTACCAAAGCTTGTTTAATGGGAATAAAAAAAGTGAAGTGATGTCGTGTGATGAAGGAAAGGAGCCAAGAACACTCACCTCAATGAACACTGTCTTCAAAAGCCTCCCGGAAAACGAAGTGATGTTAGCAGTGATGATCTTGAGCTTCAAAGACTCGAACACCTCGCACAGTTTCACCATTGTGTCTGTCCTTTTGCTGCATGTCAAACTCACCACAACAGTTTTCTCCCCCATGTAGGTAACCCTCAGCTGCACCCACCACCACATCATAAGCAATTAAAAAAATTCAAACGAATAAGAACAAAAACTCACAATACCCCACATCATCTTCATGGTATCAACCATAACAAATTAGCACTACCCCACATCATTTTTATAGTATCAATAATACAAGAGAGAGAGAGAGAGAGAGAGAGAGAGAGAGAGAGGGGGGGTTAACCTCAAGGACTTCAATTGGGGAGTTTCTTGAAGTGACTGAATCGTATATTTGTTCTGTTCTCTTCTTCTTGGACCTCAGCACCACTGGAAGTTGTTCCTGCTCGAAATCACAGCTTGGACTACTCTTTTTCGGCATTCCCGATTCAAGATCCATTATCTCAGCTTGGATTATCTTCTCTTGCTCGTGCAAATGCTGGATATACTCAATAGCATCCTTAATAATCGAAGCCTTGTCCATCTGCAACAAACAAACACACCATTCTATCACAAACACAAATTCACAAACATCAAACATGTCTCACCCTCTTTTTCTTCTCTTCTTTAACACACTTGACAAAACAAGAGAAACAAAGTACCAAATCACATGATTTCTCCACACTCCCAATTACCCAAATGTGCTCACAAATGAACACTATCAGCTACTTAAGCTATTAATCAATTCGTCAATCAACCAAACCTTACCTTGCTGATATTAGGAACCACCGATCTAAGCGCGAAAAGCCTTTCATTCAGCTTCTTCCTCCGATTCCTCTCGGAAACAATGTTCTTAGATGCAGCAGATGAAGCAGCACCATCGGGGGAACTCGAATCGTAGTATCCTGACAAAGCCTCATCCAACCCCCAACTACAGTGACCAAAAATAACACACCAGAACAAAAACACTACCTTATGTTAACTGAATCAATCACAGAACAAATTAGTATTGGTTACTGATTAGTATTATTATTAATCAATGTTAATTATTACCCGTCAAGCTCTTGAGTTTGGAGGAACATGTTGGTCTCCCAGTAATGCCTGTACTCTTCACCGATATTCTCCATGGTTAAGGTTGAGAGAGAAAGGGGAGAGAATATGGTGATGGTGTGGTTTGGTTGAAATTGGTCTATAATAATGTGTTTATTTCTCCTTTTGTATGATGTGGTTTTATATATGTGTTGGTCGTTTATGTTGGCTTGGGAGTTTTATGTATATAGGGAGGAATTAATCACGTGACAGGTTAAATACGTTGATTATGTTTTTGTCTGGTCACTGGACTCTTGTGTTTGATGCTTCCTAGAAGTATCCAAATTGTTCAAACACTATGGTCCGCGTTTAAGACATGATACCAATGTATGACAAGGAACCAACTCATTTCCTTTCAATATAGGATAAATATTTTTTTTATTTTTATTTTTCAATTTGGTCGGATAAATATTTTTTTTATATTTTTTTTTCAATTTGGTCTATCATTTTATGCTAATGAAACATGTTTTTATCTTTTTAAAACACATGTTTGTTAGTGTTAACTTCTTTCATTTTCCTAGTCTTGCTTGATTTTCTTTCTTCTTCTTTTTTCTTCCCTTTTGACTGTTTTCTTTTGTAATAATTTTTTTTTGTCTTTTTTTTCTAATGTATTTTATAACAGTCTATTTACTATGTATTAAATTAAAAAAAATATTCATAAATATAGATATTTTTATCAGAAATTTTATATTGACTCTAAAAAATATATAAAGTTAAACACAATAAAATTATATATTCCCAAATTTTTTATATGTGTAGAACACATATTTTATTGAGAAAGGCCATTTCACTTCAGTGGTAAAATTATTCTATAACATATTGTTGGAGATATTTATAGTGTTCCATTAAAAAATAAAAAGGTTAGGGCATACTCCTTCTGTTTATACGTATTCATCGAATTTTTGGAAAAAAAAATTATTTAACTATTATTTCATTGTTCAATACAATTTTTTTTTTAAATTATATCCTTAATTTTCGCATAATATTTAATTATTATCCTATGATTATTTTATTAAGATTAATCAAATTTATTATACTGTTCAATTTAAAAAAAAATTAAGAGATACTTAAAAGGAAAGAAGAAAGTATATCATAATTTTGCTAAAAGAGAGTTGCGTGATAGAATTGAGGTAGAAAGAAAAAAAGAGAGAGAGAGAGAGAACAATTAGAATGAATTATTAGAAGTCAAATTTATATTTATGGTCAAATATTATTTTGATGTGATTTTGAATTAACTCATTTATAAGTTTTCAATTAAATATTTATTAATTTATTTTAAATTTATCCTTAAATGAATTATATAATTAATTATTTTTATAGCGGATAAAAGTAACAAATTTATTGTGAGTAAAATTATTTTAAAATGATATATTCATTATTGTTATTATTATTAATTTATATGAAAAAAATTAAAGTGCAATTATATCAGTACGAATAAAAGAATTTTGCTTACTCAATGCCATATCGCAATTTATGGTTCTTTAATATATATTTATATAAAAAATAAAAATAACAACAAATACGTCACTTTTAAATTTTTTATTAAAATATTTTTTTATAAATACATCCATTAAATAAATAAAATTTATTTTAATAACAAATTAAAAAGAAAAAAGTAATATCTTTTAAATAGAAAACGTCAATCAATTTAAGCGAGATGAAAAAAACAATTACATAGGACGCATTTAATAGGATCTCCACAAAGTCTCATGTGGAAGAATTTATTGAAGGAAAATAATACTTTAACCTTTTTTTTTATTATGAAATACCTACTTAATAACTCTCTTTTTTCCTAATAAAATTATTATCTTGCTTAGTTCAAAATACTATTATTATTATTAAAATAATATTTTTCTTCTTATTATCTGCAAAGAAGAGAAGAAGTGAGTAACAACTTATGTCCATAAATTTTTTTTTTTATGATACATAAGTTATACTTTTCAAGAATACGTGAGCATATAAAAAACAACAAAATAATAAAATAAAATTATCACTACAAGTTGAAGAAAAATATTACATATAAATTCATTAGCTAAACAATTTTTTTTACGTCATAGAGAAAGGTACAAAAATAATCATAATAATATTTGTTATTAAGCAATCAACATAAAATAGAGACGCGTGGTTATAGTGGCGCGTGTCCTTCATTAATTCTAAGTTGGTTGTTGGGCCTGGGCCAAGAGTGGGTCTAGGGTACAGATACTTTGAGTAAGAGTGAACACAAAAAATTAGAGGACAGATACTTTGCGTGTGTGAACACAAAATTATATTCATTTTAAATAATAATAGTAATAATAATAATAATAATAATAATAATAATAATGTGTAAGGAATCTTAAAATGGGATCGAATCGTTGAATTTTGTCTCGTAAAGATAGGAAAATTAAAAACAAAAAATTTAGTGAATGAAATAAAATTGTAATTGAGCGAAAAAGGGGAAATATAGAAGCAAAAACTTGAGTAGGGTTAGTAGAAAGGAGTAATAAGAAGAAAAAGAAAAAAAAAACATATGTTAGTGGCATTGTGCGTCATGTAGTTAAATGTCATGCACATTTCTTTTGATGACGTCTGAGTATTGTGTGAACGCTTACGCCCACCACTTCACCACTGACAAAGCGGTTATCTACTTTCAACAAAACCCTAACTTCACCAACACTTTTTTTTTCTTTCACATTTTTTCTTATTTTTAGACCAAAATTAAACTATTAAATATTACACATAAAATTTATAAATGTTAAATTTTGACAAGAAAAAACACCCTTTAGTTATTCATAAAAAGTTGATAAAAAAACATATAATTAAAATAATAAATAATAAAAAAAGTAATGCGAATTTCCGAGGAACATTGAGAAAAGAGGCCTTTAGACAAATCACGGTGTATTTGCGCTATCGCCCACCTCATTTACGCACTCTCTGCCTTGTCATTTCCGCACCAAATCCACTAACACTAACCCTAATCTTACTATCAAAACTTTGTTTAACAACTCTAAAAATTGCCACTACTCAATTATAATTACAATTATTTAAATCATATTTTTAAGCCTATCCATGCATTAAGTAATTAAGTTTTAGATAAATTATACTTAAAAAACTCTATCTGTTGAGAATTTCAGATGTTAAATAATGGAGATTTTCTCCGATCAACCACCAACGAACTAAATAAATAAATTTCACATCACCGTATGTTTAAAACTTTAAAGTATCAGGCTTAATGAATGTTTTTTATTTACATATTCTTTAGTTAATTTATTTTTATCTATATACAACTTTACGTCCAATTGCATTCTAACCATTTTCTTTCTCAATTGGATGAGAGTATCTTCCAAATAATACGCTATTTTAATTTTAAAAGACATTTTATTTAAGATGTCTTAATGTATATATATTGTATGTCAAACCATGATTCACATATTATTTATATTTTTATTTTATCTTTGATATTTAGGATGTATAATTTCTGAAAAATACATTTATATATTTATTTGTTGATAATTAAATATAAGTAATATATATATATATATATACGATAATTAATTTGATTGATCTTCAAATATAAAATATAAATAATATATTTAATAAATTTAAAAAAGTAAAAGTTTGTTTTATTATGTTCTTATTAATTAAATTTTAAATATTTTAATATCTTTAAAAAATACATTTTATAAATTGAAAATAATAATTCATCTTAATTATTAAACCCTAAACCTTAATACTATGGATTGGTTAGAGTGATTAATTATGGTCATTAGTGCACCATTTTTCTCGTACAGAAATGTCTATGATCCTTCTCAAAATTGGAGAAAAAATTAATAGTTTGTTTTTTCTCTTAATAACAACTCATATTTTACAGACTCATGAATATATATATATATATATATATATATATATATATATATATATAAATTATAACCTATTCTTAAAATAATTATTCAAAATTGATTACGAAATTTTGTTTTAAAAATCAAAAGATGAAATTAGATTAAACATCACTAAATTAAAATTTTTTTCTCCAATAAAATAAAAAAAATACTCATATAAATATACCCTAAATATAAATTATGTAAAAACCTTTATTTTTCAAATTCCTCCACAATTCTTTTGACACTAAATCACAAGTTTTGTTGATAAAGAAAAATGACATCCAAGTCCCTGATTCAATACTTTTCTACTATCATCCATAAAAATATAACACAATTTTTGTAATAGACAAACCTAACATAAAATTAAATTAAACTAGTAATTTATAATAATATGTTTGTCTATAATTTTATTATATGATTTATAGGTAATGTTATCATAAATTTTAAACACGATAAATCATATTATTGGACGGATGAATCACTTATTAAATCAAAAAATTAATAGTTCAACATATTAACTAATTAATATATATTAAAATAAAGACCGGTGTGGTTGATTTTGACCGGTCAGCATATGTCAATAGCATAAAAATAAATAATATTAAAATAAAGTTTTATTATACAAATTATCAAAATAAATAACATTAAAATAGCACACCATAAATTATAGCGGCTGGTCCCAATTCAACATTCTAGAAAGTTCGTGACCTGGCTTAAAGACAAATTTGCGAAGAACACAAAATTCATTGCATCTCACTATAGGATCATCATTTGTTCCTCAATTACTCTTAAGAAAATAACAATTATTATATTTATTAGTTATATAATATAATTATTATCGAAATTAACAAGCTTAAATAAAAACAATAAATTCATGTCCATGTAAAAGCTTTTCTATTAATACCATTTGTCGACTGAACTTGTTTTTTCATGCTTTCATCTAGTCTCATGCTATTCTAATTTTTATATATGATAAATTTATTAGTTTTAATAACACTTTTTAAAATATATTTTAATTAATTAATATAATAAATATTGAAATTAATGATTATAAATAAAGTTATTTTAAAATTTTATAATGTAAGAGAACTATTACTAAGACGAAAAATAAGGCATAATAATAAGAATATGTCTACAAATTAGAGGACATTCAATTAAATTTATGATATATATGTCTGGGCCCCATCTGCCTTGAATACTCTGGCTATTTCCCGGATAGGGTACAGTGTAATATAATGAAATATCTTATTCCATGTATATAATTTATTTATTATACTTTCAATATATAATAATATAACTATACAATTAAATTATTTTATTTCCTGTCTTTTATAATAATATATAATAGTTAAAAAAATTGTATATTGTAAACTTTTATTGAATATACTTATATACAAATTATCATTTATTAAAAAATATAAGTAAATATTTTATTTAAAATATGTCTATATATTATAATAAATAGAATTATTAGAGTCAATTTTCGTATAGAAGTATTGTCTCTTCTAGAACTTTAATTTGTCTCGGTGGATTAAGAGAAAATGATATATATAAATTATCATAGACCTTGATTCTAATACGTGATTATAAGTGTAATTATAAGTATATTGGAACATAATCCCTAGCCAAAGACTAAGAGGTAGAAATTGAACGAAACTATAATCTTCATCCTCAATGTTCTATCTAAAAATGAGACCGACCTTATATTTATTATGATAGTATTATTATGATCAATTATTTTATCTAAAATATTGTTCACTTTGAAAGTCTAGTTCGTCATGATTTTGTATTTAAAAAATATATCAGTGGTTTGCGAGAGGATAATATATATAAATTATCTTGTGTATCGACTTTTAAATGGTATGTGTTTCATGAATGTATAAGAATATCATTTCTTAAAAAAATATACATAAATATATTATTTTAAAATTACATAATATTAAATAAAAATTTAAATATTTAAAATTTCAACATTTGTTTTAAAATAGATAAATAAAACATCAAGTTTTAAATATTACTAGACATTAGATTATAGACATTTTGGATGTAGTTAGGCCTGACAGGCCAAGCTAAATGGGTCAAGCACGCCAACCCGCTATAATATAGTAGGGTAGATTGGTATTTTCAACCCATCAATATGCTTTGATCGTCCACATAAGCTAGTTTACCAACTCGCGACTCACTTAATCAATAAAAAAAATCTTTTATTGTAATACAATTAATCATATAGACAATATATAAAGTTAAAAATTAAAAAAAAATATCATTCTCATTTATTATAAGAAACATACTCTTTACTCAAAAACAAATTTTCCTCTCTCCTTGTTGCTCATCATCTCATTTTTGTTTATATTAAGTATTGATTGTTCTTATCTTTATTACTTGAATTGAATGTGTAAGAATTTCTCAAAAAGAAAATAATGTAAAATTTTATCAAATAAAAAAGGCATAGATATTTAAATTTTTCAATATAAAAAATATAAATTTTAAATTTTTTGACGTTAGTTATATATATTTATTACTATTTATTATTATATAAATTTTATTATTGTTCTAAATTATAATTTCTTAAAACAATGTATTAATTTATATTATTAACTTGAAATATATATGTTGAATTATTGATAAACAAATAATAATGTTATTATTAAATTTATTAAAAAAATTAATTTTAAAAAATATTTTTTTAAAATTATGACTAGGTAACTCGCTAACTCATCAACCCGTCATTTGACGGAGTGAGTCAAGGTCTACGATCTGTCATGACTATAACATGTGAGTCAGTTCATGTCCATTTTTTGCTAGATTAAGGCAGAGTGCATTAAAACGAGACAGATCGACCCGTTTTATAATATCTGCTTTCTAATAATTAGATTCATAATTATTTTATAATAAATTATATACAAAATCATTTGAATAAGTTTTGTCGTAAATACCGTAAGATAGAAAAATATGTAAAAAACAAATATTTTTCATAAGATAAAACTAGTTTGTATATAAGTTTAAAATATACAAAATGGTTAATTTAATTCTGTAGAGTATATTATAACTGTAAATTAGTCATAAAATTTAAATAAATTAAAATAAAGCTTCGAAAATAACTTCATCATCATTTTTCACTTCCATTAATTTATTATATATTATCATCAAAACGTAATTTTATCCATTTATTATCATAAAATTCAATTTAATATATATTTGTAAAGATTAAATTAATAATTTGTTTAAATTAATATAAGATATTGTCCGTTTTGAAGTTTTTGTCTGTCACGAGTTTATCCTTAAAAGGCAGCTGGTGGATTGAGAGAGAAGATGTATATAAACTAGTATTGATCTCAACTCAACTACGAAGTGATGTGAGACTCTTGAGCGTATCGGAATATAAGTTTCCTAGTCGAGGATGAAGTATGAGTGGAGTGAGACTATACTCTCGGTCCCATGGGGGATGTCAATGTTTCGTCTAAAAACGAATATGTTTCGGTTTTATGTCTGTTATGATAATATTGTTATGATCAATTTCTTATTCGAGGTATTGTTCGCTTTGAAGCTCTCATCTGTCACGATTTTGTCTTTAAAAGTGGATATGAGAATTGATCCTAACTCATAGCAAACATGAGACCATGACACTTTTGTTCCTAAACAAAATATTGACGCTAACTATAAGGTCAAGAGTAGAGTTTCATTCCACTCATTCATACTCATTAGTCCTCGACTATGGAGTTTATGTTTTGGTACACTCATGAATCACACATTGCTTAGGAGTCAAGACCACATTGCTTACAAGGTGAAGTCAATGGTAGTTTAAATACACTCTCCTCTCTCAACCCACTGAAGTGCCTTTTAAGGACAAGAACTTCAAAGCAGACAATACCTCAACATATGGGAATTGACCATAACGATGTTATCATAGTGTAGTAGATATGAGACCGAAACACTCACATTCTTAAATGAAATATTGTTGCCTACCGTGAGCTGAGAGTAGAGTCTCGCTTTACTCATACCCTTTAATTCTCGACTGATGACTTATGTTCGAGTACGCTCATGAGTTTCACATTGTTTAAGAGTCGAGACCAATGATAACTTATATATACCCTCCCCTCTCAACCCACCGAAATATTTTTTAAGGACAAAAACATGATGGATGAGAGTTACAAAACAAATAATATCTCGAACCTGAAAATTGATCATAACAATATTATCATACCGAATGTAAGACCAATAAATACTCTCCTCAATTAAACAAACAAGACATATAATTTTCTCTTAGATATTATTTACTTATTTAATAACATTCAAAGAAAAATATAAAGATATTTCTACTTTAAAAAATGAAAAGCGATAATTAAACCTTAAAATAAACAAATTAAAGAAGTTACATATTAACTTTTAATTAATTTTACTTTTTTAATGTTTTTTTCTTCTGAAAATACTTATAGAAAAGTTTAACTAAACATATGTAAGCAATGACATGCGAAACAAAAATTGAGTGATATAATTGTATGTATAATAAAGAATAATTCATTATTTACGTATGTAACCATAAAGATTTTATATGAGTACACACCACACGTTTATGCGAGTCCTGGCTGACCCAAGTTGTGTCTCTCGTCCCATGATGTTACGTGAAGAGAGTCGAACATCGTGAAGTGGAAAAGAGGACTTCAACTCTGCCCCTATCCATGTCTTATCGTGTTGGTCCAATTTTGAAGCCTTTAATTTGGAACCAAACATTTCATGTTATGTTACCATGGGAAAGGGGAAGTCAAGCTTTCAAATTTATTTTCTCTCTTATCTCTTTTTCCAAAAATGTTTCACAATTCCTTGGATGGTATGGCTTTAGTTTTCTCCATTAAAGTGGACTTGATTCTTGGGACCCTTCATTTGCAAATTCGTAAACTCATCATTTTCAATGGCCATGATCAGGATTTATTACATTTGGTTGAGTTATCAATTTAGCAGTTAGTTGGATGAAGAGATTCAAAAATTTAGTTGGTATATTTTTTTTAATATATTTTGTTTAATGTTTGTTATTATAATAATAAATAATCTTCACAAAATTAGTTAATGAGTTTAAACAAGTTAATATCAACATTGTTATTTCAAATTTTTTTGGAAAGAGATTTATATAAAGACTCTTTAATACTTAAGTTATTATAAACAAATATATACAAAAATATCATATAAATATTTGAGAATGAAATTATTTATATAAAATAGTGTAATCTTATATGTCAATAATTATCCTTTAAATATAATATTACGTATAATAAAAAATAAGATATATTAATTATATATTATTATTATTATTATTGTAATATAAATTTAAATTGATTAATTAAAAGAATAATTTTGTTAGACAAAATCAATAAAATAAATGTAAAAATTTGAAATACAATATCCATATTTCTTTATCTATTAAAAATTACTAACTTTGACAAATTTTTTTAATATAACAAATACATATTTTCTACTTTCATTGAACAGGATCTCATCCGTTGAGTCATTAACAAAAATGTAATAATTTTTTTTTTCAATGTTCGTACTTTATTTTTTAGAGAAAGGTAATTGTAGATTCCATAATACATGCAAATCATTTCTACCAATGTATTGGTAGACGCTTAACCCCTAGAAACTGAACTCTAATAGCATCCAAATTGTCAAATAAAATAACACAATAAAACATGGTTGAGTTTTGCGTTGTGTATTTTCATAAAACATTTTATAAACATAAAGGTTTCATATTGGAAAAATCTCGTTCTTGAATGAAACATGAAATCATAGGAATTAATGAGATGTGATAAGCAGAGGGATTGACGTAGTTATTGATTTGTCAACAACATTAAAAAAAAGGTTTAAATATATATAAAAAGTTATAATTTACAATCTACGTGACAAAATTTGATAAATATAATATAAAAGATACGTGGTTTAAAGAATTTAACAATATATTAATCATATGTTTTGTCATTTTTAATTCATTGTCTTAAACTTCAACTCATGTGAATGATTAAGTGTTTCCATCACTAATTGAACACAGGACTATATGAAACAAGTTTTCAGGTTGTTGAAATCATAAGTCCATAGAAAGACCACCATTAGTTGTTGTAATCAAATTATCGTTTTCTACCGACATGTCTATTTAGATTATGTCTTCGATTGTTTTTTTTTTTTTTTCATAGTCTTCAACCAACTCCTCCAATTTTTTCTAAAAATTTCTCTTTCATAAGAGCTTTCAATCGTGCCTTGGGTGCATAAGTATTAATGTATTTGGTCTCTTGTGCAATTATAAAATTTAATTTTAAAATTCTGTCCCCAATTGTTATCTATAATAATAATTATATGGTTCTTTCTTCCCATTTTTTCTGTATACCAAAGCTTAAATATTAAGTTTCTTAAATGCATATAATGTTTTTTTTTCAAATTATAGTGTACACAATAATATACACTATATAGGTATATTTATTTGTCAAAATATAAATATTTTAGTTTTTAAAAAAACTATTGTTATCGTTTTATCAATAACATCTGCGTGTCTCAATTAAAATTTCCTATATAAATTATTTACTATATTCTAAAAGATTTTTTTTTCGACACAATAATTTTTAAGTTTTTAAAGCTATTTATTACCTTACCATTCCTCTCTCTATAATTATTAATAATAATTAACACATGTGATTTATATTAAAAAATACACTGAAGAAAAAGTTAAAAATATTTTTGAATAAATTTATATTAATTAACTTTTGGACAATATTAATTAGATTAGTTTGAGAATCTTAATGCTTTTCGGATAACATAAAAGAATTTGAGAGAGTAAACAAAAATATAAAATGGGAAGGTGAGATTTTTCTTGAATTAGCTTAGAGACTGAAAATTTATTATAGTTTTATTTGTTATTAATAATTTTACACTTTACACTTTACATGTCAAAGGAGAAAAAAAGTACATTGTTTTTAACACCTTTTTTTTTCAAATTTTAAATAAAAATATCAAAATAGATTTAATGTGACAGTTTAAAATATTTAAAAAATATATTAGATTAAAAAAATAAAGTTTTTTTTACATCCGTAGTTTCTTACTGCACTTCCTAACCCATTTTAAATGGTTGAAAGATCGTATTATTAATTTTTGTTTGAAACCTACAAGTTTTTTTCTCTTTTGTTCATCTATATCTACGTATTTCTTCTAAACCTTCATAATTTCTACAACTTTGTTTTGGTGTGGTTTCACTTCAATTCAAAATTGTTTTCAATCATAAGGTGAGAACTACATGAAAGTTAGATTGAACATGAGTATAAGAATTTAAACTACTCAAAAATGCATTTTTGAACTTGAAAGTGAATTTTGAAAAGCCCAACTCATAATGTATTTTAGAATGAGTATTTTATAATTATTTCTAAATTAGCTATTCCAAAAATTATTTTAAAATATAAAATTCAGACTACATTTTCAAAATAACCAATGTAAAACTGTATCTCATAATAGTTAATCCATAATGTATTTTAGAACAACCAATTCGAAAATGAAATATAAGTATGTTTTGATGAAAGATAAAATAAGATTTATTTTGATTATGGAGGGTATAAGAAAAAACCGTCAAATATTTATGGACTAAATTAAATCATGTTTATTTTTATTTTTCCTATTTGGATTATGGTTTAAATAGACTTAGATTAAACTTGTTCATAAATTTATAAACGGATCCGTTTTATAAAATAACAATTATTTTTTAATAAAAATAAAAAATAATATTATTTTATTTATTTATATATATATATATATATATATTATAAATTAATTTATCATCAGATTCATTTATTCTAAAAATAAATATTAGAATAAATATTTAACAATCAATTATTTAAAAATTTTATAATTAAAAATAATTAGATAAATAAATTATTAAAAAATAAATGATGAAAATAAAAAAATAAATTTGTAACTCATATTTTAAAATTAAATAAATATATTATTTTATAATTTATATTTAAAATTATTATATCTTAAAAATAAAAATTAATTTTATTAATTTCTTTTATTTTCAATAAAAAATTCGTTAACTTATTTATCTATCATGTTATTATAAAAATTATAATCATTATAATCTATTTTAAAATATATGTTGAATGGGATCATTAATTTGTTTTTCTTAACTAACAAACTCAAATCAAACTAAAATGGACAACCCGAATTAAGAGCTCTACACTTCTATCATTCTTCAATCTCTTCGTTTTTTCGCCCCTATCCAAACAATACGTAGAGGAAACATCTTGGATCATTTTAATGTTCATCTTTGACTGATGTACATTGTCATGTGCATGAATTAGTAATGGTTACTATTAAGGGTACTGTTGGAATTTTAATAAGAGTGAGACACGTGTAAACGAACAACACTTTATTTTTCGTTTTTTTTTTTAAAGAGATGGATGGGAGGCGTTGAAAGTAAAGTCACGTTTAGTTAAATTAAATAAATACAAAATCACTCTCAAAACGTGACTTTGAAACCCTTCCACCAATTAAAACGTAGAAATAGATTATTGAGCCATATAATGATGTCTTTAGTCTTAAAATTAGAGTAATTTTGGTTTTAATTTTTAATTTTAAAAATTTAAAATAATTGATTTAAATATTTTAAAATTGAAAAAGAAACTATTCGGATGTTTTAAAACCATATTTTATTAAATTTGAGATTACAATGGATTTTTAATTTAAAAGAATAATAGAATATCTATTTTGATAAAAACATAATTAAAATTGAAGATATTATTATAAATGAATTTGGTGGAATGTCATTGTTGATAAAATTAATCTTCCAGACATATCTCATTCTAGGGTTTAGGATATGATAGGCTTACATTTGTCAATCATTGAACACATTTGCATTAATTGTTCACTAGGAATCCTGGACAATTTATTTTTAAAATTATAAATAGTTATTATATGATATATAATTTCTAAAAAAGTAAACAAATGTATTTAATAATAAATTTAAGAATTGAGGGATGAAATTGTTCATTGAGCCTACTAAGTCCACTGCTGTACATGGCTAAGCATCCTATGAAGACATTTACTCTAGTTTTTTTATGATGTTTATGATAAATATAAACCCCTTAATATTTCACTTTGAGATCATAAATATTTGTTTGGTTAATAGATTTTACAATTTAATATTTATTTTAAATATATTAATTAAATTTTTCCATCAAGTTTTAATTATTTTTTCAGTTAATAATTACAAAAATTAGAAACATGGTTAAAACTATAAAATAAGTTGTTTACAAACTAATAAAGGATATTAGACATTAGATTTGTTTCTGTAAGCATAGTTTGAAGATTTAATTTAGTATAAATGTTCTAGATTTGATTTGGGCCACAAGCCTGACCCATGCAAAGCCCAAGAAGCGAGGTCCACGACGAAAGGATCCAGAATTGACATGCAAACGAAGATGCAGTAGTTGCAGTTATTAACGACCACTGAACTCCGATCTGAGACCTGATAAAAAAAAGGAAAGGAAATGGATTCAGAAAACTGGAAACACTCTCTTCTCTACCTCACCTTCCTCCTTGCAATTCTTCACCTCACGCAAACCTTCCTGTCACACTTCTTCATCGGAAACGAAACGGTTCGCATCAAGAAGAACGCCAACCTTCCCCTCCGGTTTGGTTCCGACGGTACCTTCAAGATCCTCCAGGTTTTTCTCCCTCTTTCACTTTGTAGATAAAAAAATGGT